AGGACTGACTGACTGATTTTTATTTGCTTGTTCCTTATTCTCCTCCTCCCTTCCCCCCCCCCCCCCCCCCTAGCCGCCACACTTCACTACCCCAATATATTACCATATTATATTTACATTTCCTACTAATTTGGTTGGACATGAGAAGTGGCAGATATTCTCTACATCGCCAAATATAAAGTATAAATATAGTAAAACATTGTGAATTTTTAAATTATGTATAAAATGTACAAACCAACCGGAGCATTTAATTGTGCATAATAATGATTATTGCAAATAAAGCTGCATAAAATACATGTGTATGCCCAAAGCTGAACACCAATGTACACCAGGGGGATGTTTCACAAAGATCCTAATTTGAACTTATCTCTAAGTTGAACTTAACAATTATGGAAAGCCATTAGCATCTTTGAAAATATTTTGTAAAAGTTATTTTAAAAGGCATAAAATGTTGATTTAAATCATTGATATTTTCAATTATCATGGGAGATTTCATGTTCTTGATGGGGAATTTATGAAAAGTGTAAAATACTTAAAACTTTTGCTTTTGAATATATTTATTTTAAGGCTACAAATGGCTCTCCATAATTTTTAAGTCCAACTTAGAGTTAAGTTCGACTTAGAATCTTTGTGAAACACCGCCCTAACATTTTCTTATAGCACCATGATGTTACTTGTAATTCTCAAGTGCCTCCTCGATTGCATGGTGGCAGCGGTTGGATGTAACAACCAATAAATTACAAGCCGACACCACAAGGTGCCACTACAGCTTTAATACCAATTACAAATAATATGGCACAGGAATATTCCATATACATTGTAGAATTCATAAATATACACCTGCGATAGATATTTGCATGTGCAGACTAATGCCGTCTAAGATTTTTGCTAATGTATACAATAATGAACGGCATTTTCCCCATTACATATTCTCTACATCCACTATTATACACTGTACATGCAGCGCCATCTATAGAGAGTTTGGCCACCGCGATTCCAGTTGGGCACAAGATGGTAAATACTGCTTTGAAGGCCGAGCACAAAACAAAAGAATATGTGCCATATTGAATCCAACTGAAACCTAGTTTTCCAAACTCTCTGTATAGATAGCTCTGCATGCATGTACAGGTGAACATCGAGGGTTATGTGAGAGTTAGATGTTAGTTAAAGAAAAAAAAATATTTGACAGGTTGCAAGAGCACTATCTGCATAATACCTGACATCATTTTTTGTTTTTACTCGTGATGTACTGTAAATTGGTATTTTAATAAAGAGAGAAAAAGAGTAGGCCTACATTATAAATTATCCCTCTAATAATTGAACAGATTTCTCAAATACAATCTCATATTACTTGCAGGATCAATCCTGAACATTCAAATATCAAATTTTCTTGCTAAAGATATACACATGACAAACTTGGAACTTTTAAAGCCCTCTACATGCAGCCCCTCCCTTCTCTTTTTTTAACTTCTATTATTCCTTTTCCTTTCTCTTCTCTACTATCTACTACCTTTGCTTTTCATCTTTCTTTTCCTTTGGAGGGAAAATTATACTTTGGGATCTATTTCATAATGTTAATTATGATACACATTTACCATGTCAAATCGTGTATCGTTCTTTAATTCCTTATACTATACTGGCAGGAATTAATTCCTTGAAATGCTGGAGCGCTGTATAAACGGCATCTAGGCTAAGCCGGGTAATAATAATTACACTTCGGAATAGAATTATCTGGATAGACGGCGCTGTAGAAATGCCTATTATTATTATTATTATTATGGTAATGTATTGTTATTTATTGTCATGTGCATTTTATTCATATTTGTAAACAAATTGTACAATTCAGCCTAGGCTGCAAGACAGATTTTGAATAAATATACCATTAAATATTAACAAATGATACATTCACTGGCAGTCTAACACACATCCAGCAGTCATCATGGCCTACGTTCATCTTACCAATATATAACATGCTCTTATAATATACATGTATATACATTGCATTCAGAACGTACAACAGACAGCATTACTTAATCAGAAATGGGGGAGGGAAAGGGTTTTATGGCTAGTATCATTACATTTTGAAACCCAGTAACAAAATAAAGTGAGAAATAAGGCATACATGTATGTCTAATATCAAAAAGAAATATGATATTTGATATCATATTTGAATTTACAAAATGAATACTTCCTACATGTACATGCAGAAACCCAGCTCAATACATTTAATATTCAAGACAATTACTGTCATAAATCACTTTCTGATTAAATGTCATAAATGTATTAAATCGGTCTGTTAATTATTGAATTGATAAGTATCATGTTTATGCTTGTATTGAACAGAAATAATCTAATCAATCAATTAGACATGTACTTTAACTAACAAATATAATCTATAAAGTATCAATATATTTTCATTGATATTTCTGGCAGCTGACAATTTAAAAATCTAAAATTTCTCATTGAGTAGCCCTAAATGCCTTTTTATATGAGCCATAATGCAGCAATTACCAGTCCTGGTAATGGGCAGTAGATAGTATTTCAAATGCAGTGTCATTAATTTACAAAGTGGATTTTAAAAATTGCAATTTGAGCTCCCAATTTGTTTTGTAATACAATGATAGGTGTCAGCATCATTTCTGAGATGTATAATAACTGAAAGTCACAAATTTGGGGCAGTAATTTTGAAATTGTTTGAAATAGGGTACCAGAATTTTAGAAGGTATGAATACAGAGAATATTAGTAATCATAAATTTCTGGCAATTACACACCACACACTTATTTCTCACTTTAATTTTGGGATCTAAGACAATAACACTAACTTCTAAGTACAGTGGATATTCAAAATGTTTGCCATGCCATCCTTAAGCTGAAATTTTGGCAACTTGTAAATGTTCATGGGAATCACGATAATGATGTTTTAGTTTTTTATGATTTGCATCCTTTGTTTTGTATGATTTGTTCTTCTATGTAATTCTTTTGTACCGGTATACACTTTGTTTTGCTGAATTAGATAATAATAATAATAATAGTATTACAGTCAATGCTAGATTCATTAAAAAGACATCAATCATCTTTAAATCCAATTTTCTCCATACTTTTTTTGAGGGGGAGGGGGGGGGGGGTGCAAAAAAGTAACCAAACTGCAGAAGCAGCATTCTTTTCTGAGAGGGTATTACAGTATGTCTTGGCTGGCTGTGATGGATATCCACTGTAAATAGTATATGTTCAGGGAATCATTTGGCATGCTATCTAATGTATTCTAAGTATTAGTTTCCAGAGCCACCTGAGAATACCTAAAAATTAGACCAAAATTGGCACACATGAAAGGAAAATAATACCTCAAGTTCTTCTAAACATTAAATTTTACATCCACAAGTCTTTTGCTTATAGTATTACTTATTTACTTTTACATGTATGAGTTATTGTAATCTTTTCAACTAATAGAGTTGAGCAAAGTCAGGTTGTTTAGATAATTTCATCTAATTTGAGAGACTTTTGTGCATCCTGGTCAAATTTATAAACCAAGAGCTAAGTAGTAAAAAAAGAAGGAAAAACTCCTCTACAAAATTCATAGTTTTATCTACCGACACCATATACATGATGGTAATTCCAGTCTTGAGCAACTAAACTGATTCTGTTATTTCCCCAGTTAGATACATCTTTTCCATATGAATTTTGCACAAATGACAGTTAGCTCTTTGGCTAGACTAGTTATAATTTGTTGGCATGTGATGTGTGCTAGTAGTAACTCTAATAGTAAATAACTAATAATCATTCCCCCATAAAGACTAAATCAAGATAATATTGGACTGTTTGATTTAGCTTAATATTGTTATGCGCTACAAGTCATCTTGTTTTATATAAACACATTAAAACCCATTGTGGTATGATTATCATTCAATTGACAATGATTATGTGTACATACTGTACTATCAAGAAATAATGAAAACATATTAGGAAAATATTTCTGACATAATTTCTAACTTTCATGTATATCAAATAGTATAACTACAATAACAAAATGCAAATTAACTGCAGCAAGCCAAAAAATGTGTATCTAGGTTCATAAAATAATACTATGCTATTGCAGTGTATTTATATATATTTGTTTAAATAGTTATGTTTAAATATAACCTCAAATTTTCAGTTTCATTCAAAGGTAAAAAATAAAATCAGGGGAAATTTAAAAACTAAAACTTCCTATCAGACAGAAATTTGTTATGACCACCGGTCCTAGCATCTTACACACTAAAGAATGAAGAAAAAACAACTCCAGAAAAGGTTTTCATGCCCTTTGAAAATAAATTATTGAATTTAATTGCCCACTGTAATATTTATTAATGTCAAACAGCTGGGCCTAAACCACCAGTATATGCAATTTTCAAGAAAGAGAAAATAAAAGTAGAGAGTAAAGTTAGTGTTAGTGGCTCTGGTGTCTGTATGGCAGGTTGACCTGACCTTTGCTCTGGCGACCCTTGCTCCGGACTATTTAATCACAGATAGAAGGTAACAATTAGGGTTTGGGGAATTTAAAGATATAGACCGGCCGTGGTAAAGTTGCGGTTCAAGGGTTTTAGGTACAAAATATCCATTCAATATTGTTTAAATATTGCCTTCAGAGGTTTAGATGGCAATACTTCAACAAAAAAGCAGAAACATACGCCCAAAATGTTGAAGTGTATTCGCAATATCTATCCAGGCTGGATAAATATTAGTATGCGGTTTCCCGGCAAAATTTGTTTCATCACATATTAGTCAAAACATATTCTTTCACATGATTGGTAATAAGAGCTTCCATTTAATTTTTGGAGAGGGGGGCATTTCCAAAACTGTTCTATACCTTTAATCTGAAATTTGTAGGATATTGACAACAGAGCAAGAGTCGCCAGAGCATGTGTCTTGCAACCGTATGGTAGGTGAAAGGTAATTGGTTAATTAGGTATGCATGCCAACATTCCATGATGCAAAGAGTGCTCTGATTGGCTACTTATCCGACCTTTGGCCTTCTCTTCATCTGACTTGTCTTTGTTCTTCACTGCCTCGTCTGTGCACAATCAAGTTCAAGTTCTCTTACTTAATTTGTCTTTCATTGTTCCATGCAAGTATATTTTTCTTCACACATGTATCTTTAGTAATTATTCATGCACACTGTTGGTATACAATATACTTGAAATATATTTCCCATTCTCATACACAAGGTACAGCATATTTCCAGTAATATCAGACTAAAATATTTTTCTTTTCTTCCCATGTCATTTGAAATTACATCACTGCATTTTGTGTACAAAAATAACAAAATCTATGCATTTACCTCACACTCTATCAAGGGACTTACAAGTTCCCCCTCTATTGTAGGATCATGTCGCATGTATATTTGATTTCACACAAACACCTTTTACAGCACTTGCAAAATACAGACTGAATTTTAAGACATCTTACATACAATTTTGTTCTCTTAATCAAATTTCCTGTGGCTCTTGCAGAGCAAGACATATACATAACTGTAATAGGAGATTACACAAATTGTGAGACTGACCATATTTATTATTAAAGCACTAAATAGTTGATTTACAATCAGTTACAGGTACTCTCTTTTGCCCTTTATATACAAGTAGTTCTACAAAGATCTCAATACACATCCCACACATCCCACATGTCTTAGCAATCAATCACCAAAGACATTCAAACATCATACAAGACTAAATGTGGCGGGTTCCATAAATGTACTACCAGTGACTAAACCAGTGAAGACCTAGGCCCCATTTCATAAAAACATGTCATCAGTGACAAATTACAGCTTTTGTTATAAGCTAGTGAAATCCTTGCTTCTGATTGGTTATCAGCAGATTAAATTACACACATATCAATCGCCCAAGCAAACCAAACACTGTTGGATAGACAGAGTGCAGCCTCACCTGCAAGAGAGCTGACATGCTTCATACTATGTTGTCTGAGGTCCTTTCAAGGCTGATACAACCAATCACCAATCAGTAATAACCAGTACCAGCTGGTAACAAACAGAAACAACCAGTTACAACCAGTCACAACCAGATCTCTCATGGCATCACCACACACTCCATAGCATCCTGCACATCAGTTTATACCTAAGCCATTTAAATATTGTGGGAGAGACAGTGTAAGTAAGACTTTACCTGCAAGAGAGCTGACATGCTTCATAGCATGGTGTCCGAGGTCTTTTCAAGGCAGATACAACCAATCACCTATCATTAATAACCAGTACCAGCTGGTAATAACCAGTTACAACCAGTCACAACCAGATCTCTTAAGGCATCACCACACACTTTATAGCATCCTGCACATCAGTTTATACCTAAGCCATTCAAATATTGTGGGAGGGACAGTGTCAGTAAGACCTTACCTGCAAGAGAGCTGGCATGCTTCATAGCATGGTGTCCAAGGTCCTTCAAAGCCGTTACCACCATCCTCATGTGATCGGCACTCTCATACAGAGAATTCTGAACCTGTAATCCAGAAATGAAAATTTAAATCAGCTCATATGGAATAGTTTCTTGGCAAAGAAATAAGGATTATTGTTATTTTTAATACATATTTCAAGCACAGAAGGCTGTTAGTACAATTCGAAACGCACCTCCATTTCAAATAAAATGAGGCTAAACTGGTTGGTGCCATTCGTTAATCATGTGACTATGATTTTAAAAAATAACACCCCAAAAATTAATAGTGTAAAAGAGCAGAGCCAGATCAGCAAAATCGTTCAAATACCTCTATACCAGCAAAAATTAAGTAAATATCATTATAAAAACACACTGTTTGGGTTCCCTGTTGCCCCAGCCCAGCTTAAGAGAGAGATCAAAAATTTTATCATAGTGGGGTATATAAAATATCATTACAACAAACTATCATTGCATTATAAATGTACACAAAAGAATATTAGCATTCACAATATATTCATGTGATACAAAGGCATGTTGTGTTCAGTTTAATAAAATCACAGATTTCAATACTAAATTCATGAACAAAATAGGATCACAGGAGGATATGTACATGTTATTAATTGAATGGAATGAATTATTAAAGCATGACATACATCGACTCCATAGGATATGGAAGTAGGTCCAGGACTGGGGCCATCCATGGTAGATTCCAATGCTTGGCTTGGCAGACGTCGACGGATCTGGACAGAAAAAAACAAATAAAAATCTGGATTTATATAGCGCTTAATACGAAATGCCGTCTCTAGCGCTTGACAGATATTATTACCCTGGTTATCGGATTCATTCACGCACAATTTGCATCATCCCTTCTCCCTGGGTAATATTCCTACCATATGGTCACTGTGACGGCATGTGGCAGTTAAACACAAAGGCTTTTATCATCCTACCAGGTCCTCATTTTTCTCCTGGGTATGGAGTGGCAAATGTAGATTAATGTCTTGCCAAAGGACAGATATAAACAGAGAGGGATGGTACTAACAAGCATAGTTTGTTGGTTTTCAGGGGTTAAATGAATTAAAATTTACATTGGTAAATCATAGAGCAGGAATAAACATAACAGACAAAAATTACATCATTCCTTTAGAGAATTTGAGCTTTCATCAGTTTATACTTAAATAATCAAATCTAAAAAAATTTAGTGATTTGATACATATACACATACAAGTACGACCTGGCATGTGCAGGTAATTTGTGTACACTTTTCTAAATAAACTTGGTCATTTTACATTTAAAACAATTGTGAAGTGAGAAAATAATGAAGATTTTTGTCATGAGACCCATAGAAGTGTGTAAAAAAAAACAGGGAACTTACCCACACAAACCATAAATCTGGACCCCTATGAAAAACTGAGTGTAGACCCCTTATATTCAATTTCGAAAGGGTGCAATGCTTATGATTAAGCACACACATAACTCACCATTCTAGCAAACTGTTTGAGATCGGTGTTGGTGCTCTCCATATCACGCATTAGGATAGAGAAATCAGCCGTCTCCTGATTGGCCTGTTTGAAAGATGCAAAAAAGAAAATAATGTACAACGTAATATACCTGCATTGAACTGGGTATATCACACATTTTACTAGTAAAACATAATGTGTGTCATGATTGAATTTTATTGAATTCATTTAATCACGGTAAAACCCACATTAGCGTAAAAAAACTGCTTTAATGTTACAAACATAAAACAGATCATAAAGGCACCAAATTGAAAATAAATATATAAGAAAAACAACTTTAAGATGACATATATCAATTAAAGTGAAGAGAGTTCAGCTAATACACAAAAAGGAATCTGTCTTATCAATCAATTGTATATCCTTATGTACTCTGGCAACAATCACCCCCAGAATCACTTTTTGTTTTCATTTTTCATTTCTCTTACTCTTCATCCCCTGATTCTTGCTTTATAAAAACAATGAACCAACGAAACAATAATTATAATAAGGCTCTAGTGTAGTTTTGTATCCATTTTTTTAGCAGTTCCATATCCATTCTCAGCAAAGGAATTTTAGCCAAATTTTTTACTAATTTTAATTATAATCATATATTGCATTTTCCACCCGCATTTGGATCACATCCGACATCAGGAAGCCTCCGTTTAGGGCTTCGATGTCGACGTTGTCGCTCAGTACCGTCTCCGCGCGTTAGCTTTGCAACTCAAACTGAAGCTATCAGTCTAAAATTATGCAAGCTTCTCATATAGTTTATGCCATCGTGTATGTGCGTAATACCATAAAGCATACGCGAAGTTTGCATAATTTTAGACTGATAGCTTCAGTTTGAGGTGCAGAGCTATAGCGCGGAGACGGTACTGAGCGACGACGTCGACATGGAAGCCCTAAACAGGGGCTTCCCGATGTCGGATGTGATCCAAATTCAGGTGGAAAATGCAATAGACCTAGAATCTACATGTATAGATCTATATGATTATGATTAAAATTAGTAAAAAATTGGGCTAAATTCCTTTGCTAAGAATCGATATTAAACTGCTAAAAAACTGCTTTAAAAAATGGATACGAAACTACACTAGCGCCTATAATAATAGTAGGGTCTTTTATAGTGCGCATGTCAAGATAGAAAGTAGCACATATAGATTATCTTGCCAATGGACACCGGGGGGTCCAGGGTTTGAAACCAAGTCAAAGTGCCCTTTGGTAAGACATCAAACTTTTTTAACAAGTCCCTCGGAGAGGAATTAAAGCTATTGGTTCCCTGGTTGCTTACTTATAGCATACACATGCTTTCTTAGCATTCTGTTTGTTATTTTAATTTAAAAAACTGTTTTTAAATCAAATACCAGGTTGGAATTCAAACCCTTAACCTCCTGACTGAAAAAATCAAATAAATGAACAATTATACCATGGCAAACAAACGCATTAAAAGCATGGAACTCCCTAGGGGCATGCCCATGTTCGAGTATCTCGATAAAGTTCAGTGAGGACTTTAACAGCGTCATGGTATAAAGGGTTTAACACGTTCTTTCAATACTTATTATACACCTAGCAGGAATTAATTCCTTGAAATGCTAGAGCGCAGTAATTGCCGCCTTGCTAAAGCCAGGGTAATAATCGGGCAGCACCAGGAGCGTCAGGACGTGGTGGGCATGTGCGCTACAAAAGAAGCCATTATTATCATTATTATTATCATCATCTGTTATTGTATAAATTGATATTGTATAACTGTGTTTAGTGGGGGCACGCTACAAGAGTCCTATCTCGCACCCCGGGTCAACGTGTCTGACACGGCTGGTTGTAGCAACTACTCCAAAGATCAAGCTACTATTAATCTTGGTCTAAGGAGACACGAATGAGCGAACAAACTGACCTGCATGAGGACTCGCAGCTTCTTGACCTCGAGGGCGACACAGTCTGATCCAGAGGACATGAGAGAGACGTGGTTGGCCATGAGGGTGGTGGTGTTGATCTCCTCCTGGAGCAGATGGACACTGTACAGGTGCTCCAGGTACTCAATGGCTCGCTCCAGGGACTCCATGGAGACATTCTCATCAAGCTGGAGTGGAGAGAGGAAGAGTTTGGGGTGAGCATTTTTGTTCAGTTCAAGAACAAAAGGATGAATGATAATGAGAGAAAAACAGTCAAACCTGTCTAAAGCGACCAACCAAGGGAAACACAAAAAAGGGGTCTTTAAAGCAGGTGGTCTTTGTAAACAGGTGGTCTAGTACACGTTTCAATGAGAAACCATTTTTAAGGGAAACAACAGGTGGTCACTAAAGCAGGTTTGACTATAATTATCTTCTGGATTCAAATAACACTTGCATCTACAACTGTGTCTTTAAGTACTTTTGTATTATAACCCCTGTCATTGGATTCGGACATTCTCCACTCCCTGGGGAGCATTCCTGCCCAGTGCCAATTTAAAGATGCTCACAATGCTGAACAAACCACAATGATCTTGGCACCCTCCTGGGTACCCATTTTATCACCTGGGTGGAGAGAAGCAATGTAGATTGTATGCCTCGGGTAATGGACGTAAGTGCCGTGCCTTGGATCGAATCCATGACCTTTGCAACTCCAGTCAAGAGTTTACTTGACAACGGCATATCTACACCTCTGCTAGTGATATTTTAAATGTATGATGTACAGAGTGCATGGCGGGCATACTTCGATGCAATTACATGTCCAATGTTTTATCGCCCCTCATCAATGGATTTCAAGCCTGCACACAAGTGAGTAAAATCTCCCATCCCTACGGAGTGTTCCTGCCATAACATGATGATGAGGGTGGTGACTTACCTGATCCTTTCTCAGGAGATCAAGCATGTGATCCACACATCGTTCATGGGGAGCTATCTCTGGGAAAAGGGTTCCAATCTTGCAGAAGAGCTCCACACTGCAGGTATTCAGAGCACTGGGAGAGAAACAAATAATTAAAAGGGAAAAAAAACTATCATATAAAAAACAAAACATACGGTTTATTATTGATCACATCTTATTCTTTGGAAAAACTTGAACTGTTTGATTTGAATGATATGCAGTAAAAATAAAAATCCTTTTCAAAACACAAGAAAGAAAAAGAAAAAGAAAGTTTGATAATGACAATAATCAATGCTATTATCAAGTGTGTTATTCATTTCATTATTGCAATATATAGCAAGCAATGTCTTGCTTCCAAGTATAATTTAAAAAATCTGTCCTGGGCTTTATAGCGTGAAGCACAAAAACTCTGGGGTCCTGATCATCACAAAAAATACCTTACATTATTTAAATCATTCATGCTTTAAACTAAAGAGCGAGTAATGAAATCTAATAATCAACCATTCCTAAAACCCATGTGGCCCAAACATTGTGGAGCATGTGTGCAGCGCTTTGTAACTGCAAGGAAAAGGCGCTATATCAAATTTCTTTTGGATTGGATTGGATAATGATATATTTATACATTTGCCACTCTCTCGACCCAGGTGTTAATGGGTACCGGTAGGAAGGAATTCCTTAAAATGCTGTGAGCGTCAAAATCGGCAGCCTAGCATAGCCGGGTAATGTTGGAGCGCCTTGAGGACCTTGCAAGGTCAATACGTGCGGTATATAAGAACCCAATATTATTATTATAGCACATTTCGCGTATACATGTTCAAATGCGCTTTACAATTATGTCGTTAGAAGAGGTGAATTTTGAGATATTTTTGGAAGGTATTGAGAGATTGCTGGTTGCGAATAAATCTTGGTAGGTTATTACACAATTTTGGAGCAGCAGTATAAAAGGCTCTGTCACCAAGTGTGGTTACTGAGCATCTTTGGAGACAGGTGGTGCAGCGTGATGCCTTGAGAGGAACAAAGGGAGTAGCGGCATGGTTACCTGATTGTAATGAGTTCAGATAGGTAGGGGAGAACCATTACGGTGAACTGTCTTGAATCTAAAAATGACTTACGTGTTGTACTTGTTGAGGATAGCTCTCAGCTTATGCATCATGAACGTGAGAGAGTTGAAGAAGGAGAGCTGCTCCCCGAAGTTATGACGAAGAACTTGCTCTCTGTCTACTGTCTCTGGTATTTCAGCCTAGGAGTACATAAGGATTCAAACATCACAACAGAGACTGTTTAATTCTAATCTCAATTGAATTTGAAAAATATTTTCATCAATATTCTGGATAGGATGTATACAAGGTCTAGTAAACATCAAAAGGTATAAACAAGTTTGAAATGCAGAAAAACTTGAGGAAAGTATTGAATCAATGGAAAAAATTCAAAGAAGTTTCCAGGAAAGGGACATTCATTCTGTCAATTACAAAATTGTATTTATGATACTACAATCACTATATTATACGCATTAATTATTGCGTTTGTTTATCAAAAAATGCATGCATATTCAAAAGAAAGACTAAAAATTTACTTAATATTCAACATATTTAATTTTGGCTAGCATGTCAGTTTAATAGCATCAAACAAGAAAGCATTCTTAGTCATTTAATAATGAGATGATATCACAAGACAGAATAGCCCCGCCATGGTCACAGTGAGATATAGTCACATGACATACTATCTCCCTCTAGCTTACCTTGTCTTTGACATGGTTGATGAGAAGCTTAGACTTGGCCAGCATACGAGACACCAGCATCAGCACATGAACACAGTCATGGTCACCTGACAGTGAGAAAAAGTCACATGATTAGTCACATGACATGGACAAATGTTAATTTTTAAAGTATGGTAATAACAGAACTGTCTTATTCTGAGCACAAGAGTAGATCTATTTTCTCCTTCCTTCCCAAGTGCTCAGCAAGACAGAACACATGTATGAGTTGTCTATGCATTAATCAAACAACTAAATATCTAATGGCAGTTTAATAGCAGCCACCTAAACCCATTAGCAACTAGAGATTTTGTAAAAAAAACGGACGAAAACAGCGGTTTCGGGCGGTTTCGAACGGTTTAGTGGCTAAAGGGTTAATCATATATCGGTATTTACACCATAGAGTACTTAGTGCGGTATGGTATGTAATCCTGTAGGATTTTTGTGCCATAGTTGATTTTTTTATTCTTTCTGTTTTGGCTTCAAAAGGGTTCCAATTGGCCAAAAATGGGGGTTCAAATTTTCAGACCCCTCCTTCATTTCCTGGGGGGGTCCATATTGGGCGCCAAAATGGCTTATATAACGCGCAATACGGAAACTTGGTGTCTTCGGGAAAATTTGAACCCCATCAATTTCTGATAGCTTGGACCCCTATGAATCCAAAAATGCACAAAAGTCAACTTTGCCACAAAATTCTACGGGAGCTGTTTCAGTGACATACCGTACAACAGTAACTGCCTAAACTGGGAAATTATGTTTCTACTAGATTTAAACAAAACAGTAACATGAATACTGAAACTTTAGTTTTAAATCAAATAGAAACTCAAGGGGCTCCTTTTGGATGGTCCATTAAATGTATAATTGAAATGACAGATTTCAGTGGGCAAAAAAAAGGACCTCTTGTAACAAAAATGTTATAATGCTATGAAATGGAAGGAGCATAATACTAACCTCCTCTGCGTAGGAATGAGTCTGGCATAAAGGATGTGAGAAGACGGATATGCTCATTGGCTTGATTCACCTCCAGCTTACGAAGCTCCACCTCGATAGTCTGTGACATATAAAAGAGAGAGAGAGAGGGTGAGACAGAGAGAGAGGGAGGAGAGAGGAAGAGGGGAGGAGAAAGGAAGAGGGAAAGCGAGAGAGAGAGAGAGAAGGAGAGAAGCAGAAGCAGAGGCAAAGAGGCAAAGAGAAAAAGCAGGAGAGAGAGAGAGAAAAGCAGAGGCAGTGAGAAAGAGTAGGAGAGAGACACAAAGATAGAGAGAGAGAGAGAGAGTGAAAGGGAGATAAAGCAAGCGTAACAGAGACGGAGAGAAAGAGGATGGAGAGAAGGAGATATATAGAGAGAAAGATATAGACATTGGGTGAAGGAAGAAATAATGAGGGATCGAACATAAGAGTTACATAAAATACAAACAATAATTCAAAGACAAGTTCTCAAATGATTATTACTTTATTCCATAGACTACTGAATGCTCTAATTCACATTAGGTATATAAAGTGACCCCCGGTTACCTTTATAGGAAATGGGTGTATAATACTCTTTTCCACTCCAGGTACTCATAGACAGGATTAAACCTGTATTAGTACTCATAACCTATCTATAACAGATGGATGCAAATTTGAAGATAAAGAGATAGACAAATGGAAAAGAGATGGAGAGTACCAAACAGAGATACACCCTGTGAAGGTGAGATAAGTGACATTTATATTTTTTCTTAATAAAAGACAAAGTACAGATCATCGATCTGACTCCAAAGCACATGTCATCTATATCTATTCATGTCTGGCATTTGTTGCTTGGATTAGAATCCTTATATCACAACAGATGCTGAATAAATCAATGAAACAAATGTCATCAAGATGTACAGCTCTATCTTCCTACCTTAGACTGTGCCTTTGCTTCAGCAAACTTGGTGGTGAAGTCATATGCCGGAACCTCAGACGGAGAGACATCGGTTTCACTGGACTGGGTCTGGTTCATGAGCTCACGATTCTTCTCCTGTTGGGACAACATCATTAACATTAAAGATAGAACTGATGATCAAGAAATACAATACCTTTAGATACTAGTAAGGAAGTATTTTTCAGAAGACTGCAGAGCACACTTTAAAGGCATCGTTTAACAATGTTAAATTTGAGATGCATGGCCCTACGTGTTATCAGCGTCTGTGATATGGTGTAATATTAAAGTCCAAACAAAAAAATGCACTTCAAAATGATCATGAAGTGCCTTAAAAAAGAAAAAATCTTTGAGTGATCGGTTTTACCATATTCATTTTCCCCAATAGACAGTAGTGTTGTAAAAACCGTTTAAAAAACTTATTCTGAAATTTCTAATTCCAATCATAGATTTCTTGATAATCAGACAGGCGATTGGCTTGTAAAAGTCATGGGATTCATGTATGACCTAAAGGTTTATAATTGTGATTGCAGCATGAGCTAAATCACAGATTTTTTTAAGAATCTGAGGCAAAATTACCTAATCCCTTTAAGGAAACAGGGACACCATTAGCTTTTGATCAATAAGGCTGACAAGAGAACTACATACATAAGCTAAATACATTCTGCACAAAAAGAAGGCTAAATAAGCTAGAAAGAGGTTTCACTTCAGGTGCCTAACATCAGATAATAGCTTAAAACATGGTACCCCTGTGAATATCAATATTTATCATTGCCTAGGAACACACCAAGAGCATATCCCAACAGGGGTATGAGAAATCTTACCTGAAGGGATGCAGTGAGCTGCCTGAACTTGGCGATGGTCTCCTGATGATCGTGGGTGTTCTCCTGGAACTGGTTAATCTTGATTTGATATTGAGATACCTGACTCTTGGACATGTCTAGCTCCTCCCTCAGCTCCATCTCTGTCTCCCTGGCGTTCTCCTGGAGCTCTTCGTTCATGTCATTCATCGCTTCCTGTCATAGAATGAAAGAAAAGAAGGATATTAGGATATTTTAGCGTCAAGCAACGCCTGGCTGGAATGCTCCCCAGGGAGTGTGCGGGCAAGTCCTAAATCCGATGGCCGGGGTAATAGTATATCTGTAAAGTGCATAGAGACATTGTATTAAGCGCTTTATAAGCGAAATATTATTATTATTATAGTGATATCTAGCTCCTCCTTCAGCTCCATCTCCATGTTCCTGGCATTCTCCTGGAGCTCCTTGTTCATTTCACGCATTGCTTCCCATCATATTGAATCAAAGTAAATACTGTTTTAATTTGGTTAAGATGCTAATTGACTTTTAGAATGACAGTATAAAACACCTGGGGAGTGTTTCACAGAGACTAAGATTGACTTTAAGTTGGACTTAACTATGGCTGGCTGTTCATACCACTAGTTGCTCTCATCATTATGATCTTTAGAATATATTTTTTCCTTCAATAATGCAGTATCAAAGAATGTAAATTCTGTAGATTTGGGATCATGATACGTCCCTTGAGAGATCAATGCCTGTAAATGGTGAAAGAAAATAGTGGCATGAACAACCTGCCATAGTTAAGTTCAACTTAAAATCAATCCCAGTATTTGTGAAACACTCTCCTGATCTAAACTGCTATGTTGGTAAACAGTTCTTCAAAAACAACCATTGAAATAAGACTTTTTATAAATAATTTTTCACAAACTTTCGATATCATCTATCATATGGACCTCTTAAGTAATACCAGAGTCAGTGAGTCACACCACTAAACCGACTCCAGACTGACCAAATCTTGGCCACTCAAGGTTCTGTATGCAGTCAATAGTCAGTCTGGTGTTGGAGTTTTAGAAGCTTAAAAACAAACAAACGATGAGAGAAATCTTGTTCCCCCCTCCTTTCTATATCAATCAATATAATACATGAACTTCTTGGAAATGTTCACATATATGGGGGGCTTTTTGCCAGATTCTATGAAATCATTTCAAAGAGCCGCATTTTTAAACAAAATCCCACAAGAACTTCTCTGTACAAAAGAAAGAGGAAAAAATAATGCTGTCTCCACATTATCAGTTCCTAGACTACATGTAGCCTTGCATCCCCAAGTCCTAGTGCTACTCACCAGATCAGCCATGGTGGCCTCTAGTTCCTGGAACTTCTCCTCCATCTCCAGGTTCTTCTCAGTCAGACTCTCTACCATCTCCTCAGCTCCTAGAGCTGCATCAACCTACATGAACGACAAGATGATGTATTTCCATAGCAACATCATGTACGATGTCTTTCCATCATGATGTCATAGTAAAGATGGTCACTAAGTTGCTACTTTGATTTTTGATCTTTTATTCTTGTGTTTGTTAAAGACTGTCTTGTATTATTTTGAATATTTGTAAGCCAATACCATGACCATAATTTCTCGAAGACAATGTTGCAATTGAACATCAACAGCACTACATGTATTAACATCTTTATAATGATTTCCTTATATGGAAGCACATACATGACATATCGCATAATGTGCATTCAAACATGATCAAACTACTAAAGCTTTTTATTCCCCCGAGTCAAAGCTGGAACACATAAACTCTTTCTCAATAAAGGGTTTAATACAAAGGCCTTGATAGGAAAAGTACAGGTACACTTCTATGTTGCATACTATAAATATCCTTATGAAAACAAAATCATTCTAAAGCAATTCACTTGTATTCAAATTGTGTTTTCAACATCAAATGAAAATACCCTTCATCAACATAATGATAATAATAACAATTTGGATTTGTATAGTGCTTAATACGGTATATCGTCTCTAAGTGCTTTACGAATACCATAACCCCGGTCATCTGATTCATTCAGGCACAATGTGCACCTTCTCCATTCCCTGGGGAGTATTCCTATGATATGGTCACCATAAATAAATAAGGCAATCAAAGCAAACTTTTTCACTTAAGGATGAAAGAAAAAACTCACCTGTTCCTTCAGTTCTATGACAGTGTTTTCTGCATCCTGGAAGGGGAAATACAAAGTAGAATGTTTTGAAATTCTTATCTAAACATAAAATCCAATACAACAAATACAGACACAGCTAAAACTTTTCTATAAAAAGCACACCGTCGTTGAAAAAAAAATTCCTATAAAGGATATCAATGATCCCTATTAAAGTTGTATCGAACTTTTGCTGATGTGTAAACTCTCAATTTCTGATGTTATATAAACTTCTTTATGTATGTGTGCTCGAAGGATGACTAGCACTAGTGAATTAATCTACAAACTAACATCATCATTATCATCTTCACCATCATCACTATCACCATCCACAATATCATCATCATCATCTTCGTCCTCAATGTCATCTTTGGAATGTCTATGGTTTCTATGGTTTCTCCTTGAGTTCTAGCATAAGTTTCTTCTTGCCCTTTATCATAATTCCCGCCATACTACTTTCATCATCATCATCATATCACCATAATCATTGTCACCTCTATCATCATCATCATCATCATCATCATCATCATCATCTTTGTCCTCAATGTTATCTTTGGACTGTCTATGGTGTCCATACCTTGAGGGCTTTGTTGGTGCTGTCTTTCTGTGCCTTGATGTCCTTGAGTTCTTGAGAGAGCTTCTCCTTGTCCTTCTGTGCTCTCTGATGCTCCTGCTTCTCAGTGTTGGACAGGTCACGCAATCTGTATGAAAATGATTTATCATTAATACATCAATATGTTATATCCCATACAATTTTGGATTTACACAAGATTTAAATCAATTTTTGAGCTTCTATTTTGTTTCAATGCTTGTTCGTTCTTTCGTGTCTCCTTAGATGAAGATTAATGTAAAGTTCCTAAATTAAATTAAATTAAATTATGTTCTTCCATCTCCCGACGGCTGGGATGGTCGTCTCATTTACCAGGGCCAAGTCTTCATCTGTGCAACCAGTTCTGCCGCATTGCAAGATGTGGTCCATTGTCTGAGTCTCTCCGCAGTCGCATAGAGTATCTGTTTCCATGCTAATCTTCTCCAACACAAGGGGAAGAGCATGCAGAACTACACAAGTGTGTACCCATGTGTAGCTGATTTGTCAATAGTTCATTTTAAAGACTGCAAGACATACATTAATATCTTCCGACATTGTTATAGATGACGCTGAATACACCAGTGTGAGACCTGCACACGCACAAAAACAATTGAGAATACCCTTTGGAATAGAAATGACATTTAGAGAATACTCACTTGACCAGAGCTTCCTTGAGACGATTATTCTGCTGCTCAAGCTGCTTCAGTTGGTAGCTTGCAGAGGCTCCTTCCGTTCCTTGATTTTAAATAGAAGAAAAACGATAACAGATAAGTAAAAAGTCATGATCTGATTTATTTCACATTTGAAAGTATAATAATAATAATAATAATAGGCATTTCTATAGCGCCATCTACATGTATCTAGAAATTCTATTCCGAGGTGCATTTATTATTACCCCGGCTTAAGCCTAGCTGCCATTACAGCGCTCCAGCATTTCAAGGAATGAATTCCTGCCAGGTACCCATTTACATCACCTGAGTTGAGTGTGGTAAATGTAGATCAATGTCTTGCCAAAGGACATACCGGTATACCAGTTTAATTGACTCTGAAGTGCTCCCTTTCCACTTGCAATGCAGCTACAAACCAACTTTATGTGAAAGACATTTATGTGTCTTGGTCACTCTTCAAATAGATATGATTTCGCCATATAACCCACCATTATTTTCATTATTACACATATATTCACCATTCATTATTCAAGATCATCAACATTACAATTTTCCATCATCATCATCATCACCATCAGCTTCATCATCATCACCATTATCTTCATCATCATTGTCATCATCATCATCATCATCATCATCATCACCATCATCATCATCATCACCATCAGCTAAATCATCATCATTATCATAATTGATATCAACATCATGAACTTCATAATCATCATCATCATCACTATCATCATCAACATAATTGACGTCATCAACATCATCAACATCACCATTGACATCATTACTATCTTAATTAAAAGCACACACAATAGTCACCTCCTTCTTCGATCTCACTGCGTAGCAGCTCAAGGTCAAGGGTCAACTCCTCCACCTGCTCTTTCAGGGTGTCCACTTCCTGCTGCAGGGTGTCCGCCTTCTCCTCGGCCATCTCCTTGTCCAGGGTGGCCATCTCGATGGTCTCTGCCACACCGGCCATCTCGTCAGAGTGGCGCTCCTTCTCCTCCACGGCCTCCCTGGCCTCCGTCTTGGCATCCTGGAGCTGGCGTTCAAGGTCCACCTTGGCCTCGATCATCTTGGATTTGAACTCTTGGAGCTAAAGACCATAGAAACAGGAATAAGTTATGAATAATAATAAAAATAATAATCCTCTTTAACATTGTCCTCCCATCCATATCTCCCTCCCCATCATTCCCCTCCTCATCATTAAAACCCTTCCCCCTTCTCTTCTCACCTGCTGCAGTTGAATCCTCATGATCTTCTCTCCCTCCTTCAGCTTGGCCCTGTCCTCTGCCCTCTTCATCTTCAGCGTCTCCAGTTTCTCATCCCTATCATCCCCCCCCCTCCCCTCCTCATCATCAAACCCCTTCCCCCTCCCTTTCTCACCTGCTGCAGTTGAATCCTCATCTTCTCCCCCTCCTTCAGCTTGACCCTGTCCTCTGCCCTCTTCATCTTCAGCGTCTCCAGTTTCTCATCCCTATCATCCCCCCCCCTCCCCTCCTCATCATCAAACCCCTTCCCCCTCCCTTTCTCACCTGCTGCAGTTGAATCCTCATCTTCTCCCCCTCCTTCAGCTTGGCCCTGTCCTCTGCCCTCTTCATCTTCAGCGTCTCCAGCTTCTCCTGGAGGTCCTTCACCTCCATCTTGAGGAACTCTGCCTCCTCTGACGACGCCCCATCTCCCTGGCTACCCATGGAGGCTGCTAGCTCGGGTGGAGCAGGGGCCTGAGCGGCCGAGGTCGGCGTGGGCGAAGGGGCGTTGGACGAAGCCGATGAGGAGGTAGACGGGGGCTTTCCGATCTTGGAGGCTTGCTTGGTCGATGGTCGTTGGATGGATTTTGGGGCTTGAATGCCAGATGGGGAGGAACTCTAAAAAAATGAACAAACAAGATTCATATCAGCCACATTCTTAACAATTACCTGTAAGCCTAAATCTAAATTAAATCCAATATATGGAGTTACATTAATTTTCAGAACTTTACTTACACACGCAAAAGCAAATGGTTCCAGAATACTTGCATGAACGTCAATCAATAATACAAGGACAAGTCTAAGCCATTTTGTCCTATACGTTTCTGAACACATCTACATGTACATCTCATTACTGTATCAAGCTGATAGCCCTTCTAGAGCTTGAGTCAGACAAAACATTGAATAAAACAAAATTTTATATCAACTTATGATCTTAATTCTTAGTAGATAGCCTTAATAGAGGTTGAATCAGACAATATGTCTAATAAAATAATATTTTCACATCAATTGAAAATTACAATGCATGTATCTTCAAAATTCAATAATTCCACTAAACAATACTTGATAACATAAGGGACATAACCTGAATAAGACAACTATCAATTCCATCAGTTTAATTTTAAATCATTGTTCAAGAATACGTTATTAGTAGTTGCATTGAATGTTAAGCATTTAATCTCAATTTGAACTTCACCCGTTGAAAGAACTGGCATAATTTAATTCATGTTTTAATTCATCATGCTATGATTAAAAACAATTTTCAAAAAATTTAAATTCAGAAGAGAAAATAGCTATAATTGAAAAAGAAGAAAACATTAAAATTGTGTTAATATTACAGAAATGAGGGATAATTAGTCTTTAAAATGACAGAAACTAAATAATTGTCATACACAAAGCTTGTGTGGCAAAATCTTTTGATGAAAAGGAAATGAAAAGAAAAATCCTGTTAATTCAATGTAGACAATGATGTATACTGGCAACAGATGAATAAAAAAGTATACACTATTGTAAATGAAGTGAAACACATAATTGTTTGCATAGCGTGGTTACTGGATATTATTTTAAATCTAACAGAAATATAGCATATATTCATCTCTTGTCAACAGTTTTCATTAGAAAGGTCTTCTATTGAACTAGCAGTGGCCTGATTTCAAGGCAAGATGTGCTCTTTTAATCTCTAGTGCATTTTTATTTTTTGCCAGAGTTTTTTTCTCTAAAATCCGGGAACTCGTTTTTGTTTTTCTTACTTCTTTTTCTTCTTGCTTTAGATCTTAAAATCATGATCTGCCTACATATTTTCAGGGTGTTTAGAAGAATTAAAGATACAGCTATAGCAAAGGAGGGCCTCTAACATCAGACATATTACCCTTGTCTGACAATATATTCTGCTACTGTAAAATATGAGGATACAAAATACTGATTTGATAATGAAAACTCAGTTCTGAATATGTGATCCGGAATGAATGACACATTAAATGGTACTATTTAGCACTGGAATATGATGTAGAAAGTATTGATTATCTCGAAAAATGGAATCTCAAAGGTCTTCATTATAATGTATCAAACAAATTCCATAGGCCATACCATCATCTTGCTTGGGCTTTTGGACTGATTTTTCAAAACTTGTTTAAAAAATGAAAGAGTAACTTTATGTGTGTTCACAATTTCAATGTTCATATCATGTCCTGTGACTGATGATCTTAACAAGTGTATAAACTAAAGGTATTGTCCAAAATTTACAAGATCAATAAATCTACTACATACTATAAGAGCTATAATTTAGACCTGTACAATATACATCTCTACAATTGTACTGTTCCTATTATGCAATATACCATACAGTAAAGCATTTGTAGCCTGCATTTTTTTTAATGTGTTAGGAAATATATGTAAAAGAAAAAAATTATGAAAACAATATGGCATTAAATGCACAAATTGTGATCTTAACAAGTGAGTAAATAAACATAATGGCAACTTACATGAACATGTACAAGTTTAAGCACAATTTATAACAAATATGATAAGTTGTAAAATAAATAAATGACATAGGAATTTAAAAGATTAGAAATTAATCGTGTATGATAAACTAGGTATATAGGTGTTGAATAAGTACTGAATGAATACAGAATAAACTGAACAATATTGCTATGTAGTTTAACAAATTTTTAAAAAAATATGTAAAAAAAATAATTATGAACACTCTGACAAATGCAGTTCTGTCATCAAATTATGGATTCTACTGTACCTTCATCCATGTAAAACTACATAGTTGGCATAAAATATAATTTCTTCAAAGTGTGATCTTCGTACATGAATATAATAATAATAATAATAATAATACTGTATAACGACTTACATGTAGTGTACTAAGAGCAGAACTAGTTCATCATAAAATACTCTACGTATGTGTATCACATTTACATTGTATAATAAGGCAATTTCAGTACAGTCAAACCTGTCTATAGCGACCGCCCAAGGGAAACACAAAAAGTGGTCTTTGTAGACAGGTTCCTTTTAGTACATGTATCAGAGAAAACATTTTCAAGGGAAACAAAAAATGTGGTCTTTGAAGACAGGTGATCTTTGTAGACAGGTTTGACTGTATCACCAAAACAGTGATAGTGCAGAACAAGCAAGAAGTTTGAGCCGCGTTAGTTAGTAGAGCTGGGTTAGTGGAATGTAAACACTTTGAACAACTCACTCTTCGCGGCGAGGAAGGAATGTCGCCGGCCCGGCGCATCAGGGATGGAATGGATGATTTTCTGCCGCCACTATTGGCCTGTACATTGTGACGTTGGGTATTTTTTTGTTTGTGCAGACACAAGAAAAATCACACACATATATCTAAAGCTACTGCTATATCTATGAGGAGAAACATGACATGAATCAACTATTAACCATGCAAGATACAACTGAATGGAAACACAAACAAGTACATGAACAGCATACAAGACTGAACAATTTGAGGGCTGAGGAGAGTACTTTTTCAAGAGATAAAAAAATGAAATCCTTCCCGATTAAATTATTTTCAGGACTGATATAAACCCTAACCCTGCTGGCATGTTTACATATTTTTTTTCTGTTTCTAAGAAAAAAAACACAACGGCATAGGGTACTTCCATATATACAAATGTGATGTACAGCTAGCATACAGTGTATTTTATTTTTTTCATTTTGGTGACATAATGTACATGTCAAAAATGTTGCACATGTACATGGTAAATAAAGTGTGCACCTTTTGACGACGTTTCTTCTTTCCCTTACTCTGTAAAATATAAAATAAAGAGAGTTCAAAGCAAAATGCACTAGCTTATTTATGTTTTCATGGAAAAGGGAGTCGTAATTTGTTTGCTTTATGAATGGCTAGTACTGTTGATGCCCGGTTCATGATTGAAGCATGCATTTACAATTTTATATGTATCATGAACAATGATTAATGTGGGCAAATATATCATACCAACAACAACAAAAAAGACTGAATAATGTCCATAACTGCCTTGGACAATGAACATGTAATGTCCAAAATAATACAGATCTTGGGACTTATTGACAAGAGGACAAGTCATGCATTCTGTTCATTTCTTCCATACATACTTTGATTTGTATAATGGGGTGTATAAAACTAAAATAATGTAAACGTGGTTCTGAAAAAAAATGGTTCAATGTGAATGAAATGTGAAGTATGAATTGTGTGTTTATTATATATGTGGAATGAGAAATGTTCAGCTGAATACTCTTAATTCACAATATGTTTCTCTGCACTTTTTTCCTTATTTATTATCTCATTACAAAGACCATATGAGGTACTTGAATCAATTATTTAATGGCATATCTCCTTTGATAACTCCTTGCATATCCAGCCTATAAAAACTTAAATTGATTATGTATACAAATGTCATACTCTACTAGAGACAAATAGATTTGCTTCTCTTGTATTTAATCATCATATCTGAATACGATCAACACTGGCTCTGGTTAACTTTAATTTGAAAAATCACAGAATTAAGTCCAATTTGGGGTTGGTCTACATGTACATGTATTTGGTGTGATGAATGATGAATGTCAATTAAATAGAGATGAAATCTGATGTAAAAAAACATATTTTCTGTGTGAAACGAAAACATGCAATGCTCAGTTTCATTCTCCTGCATACACATGCCAACTCACATGTTTCTCTAAATTGCGTTCTGTCAAACTTTTGGCGTACAATGCAGCTCTCGACTGCTTTGACGCTAAGGCACTCTGAAAATGATTTGAGTACCTTTCATGATCCAAGAACTATTCAGCAATTTCAACGTCATGAGATAGTTACTTATGAACCTACTGTATTTAAGTAGCCAAATATTTTGTAAAAAATTCTGAAAATATACCGCATGCCCATTTTGTTATATTGATTGATAGTTATGGATCAACCTGTAACTGATATTTTGGGATGCTTTTACCCTTAAATAATCGTAAAGGAAAGTTCCTGTTCTATTCATACTTCATGAATTTCATCAAATTCCCACGATAATAGTAGCACAAAAAAAAAGAGTCACACGAAGAACAAGTTGATCTAAATATAGGACTCTATCTTAAGAAAAAAGAAAGAGTAAAAGATAGGGCATGTACGTAGCTGTCGAGAGCAAATATTATGTGAAAGGAAATAGATCAAAGTTTGAAACATGCAAAATACAAGTATATAACACATAAAACTGGCATAGAGAAGGAAGTAGAATATTCAGTTTTAAAGTTTAAAGCAAACAGGTGTTGAATAGGTTTTGAACATCACAGCAAACATTGGCAACAGTATAACAGTTGCCTGGGCACAATTTGAATAGTATAGGGGAGAATATATGTATTTAAAGAGCACCCAAACAGTCCACTATCTACACGTAAAAGTAACACAAACATCACTAAAACTGCACATGAAAGTTTCAGGGAGGCGGAGAGGGAGGGGGACGGTACATGTTTAAGGACAAACAGGCACAACTAACTATGGGACGGTGCTTATTGCAGTTTGAAAAGGGGAAGGAAAACTGCACAGTTAAAACAAACAAAAAAGCCAGAGGACGACTTACATCAGCCTTGCCCTTAGCAGAGAAAGGTTTAGGGATGCTGCTAGCTGGAGCTGGTGTAGTCACGGGCGATGGGGTGCGGTCTCCATCATCCAGAATCTTGACCTGTAAATAGCAAGATGGCAGATGATCATGCAAAATTAGGAATACAGTCTATTCTGTATATTTTTCACACAGAATATTTCAGAAAAGGAGAGGATTCTAGGTTCAAAACAATAGTTTGAAGGCAAAAAAATAGGAATCATTCCTCCAAAATAGGAATTGTTGGCAGCTAGTTTAATACAGTATCATGGGAAGTCTTGTTAAAAATTTGAATATAAGAATTGCTACACTACGTGAAAATTGTCCACTGGACTTTGATTCAGACATTACTCTGCACTAGAAATGACATTATAAATTTTGCGATGTGTATGTTCACATTATGTTGCTAAAATCATTGGGAAAATGAAATCTGAATTTAAGAAAACTTGTTTATTCCAATGTTTAAATAACTTTGCAGACAGAGATTACAGAGATGGACGCACTGGATAGGGAAACCATGATGTTTTGTATGCATCTCATAGTCTTAATGAATGCAGTCTTTCAATGTTACGCTCAATCAGTGAGTCAATTCAACTAACGCATCACTTGGGCAACACATTTAGGGTAGACAGCCCTTACTACTTAAACCTAAAATACATGTACCTTCAGAGTGCAAAGAAAATGAAGCCATTTACAAGCCTATCTGTACTACATGTAGTTTTGCCAGGAGGGATTAGACGTCCCTGCGTGGTCACTGGCAGGTGGTTTTCTCATCAAATCAGCTCTCAATTAACCTAAGAAAAAGGGGACCATGGAGATCAACTAGTACCGCTTAGGCATTGTTGGCTATATAGAGGGCGCAAGTAGCTACAAGTGCAGTGCAGTCCCGGTTTGATAAAGATCAATGGAACTTAATTACTTTTTCTTTCCATTATCCTTCCCCTCCGTCTCTCATCCCGTTCACCCACCTGTGACTGTCGAATAAGGATTCCATGATTATCAGGGCAAGTGAAATACTTCTTGCCCTGGACGGTCCCATTGTTCTTCCCCTTAGGTTCATCCAGCGCAACACCAATCCATTTGCCACTGTATTGAAATTAATAAAGAATGAGAAACAAGGTTTTGTTAGCTACGTCAAGATTCAGAGCAATGGAAGACAAAAAATACTCCACGGAGCATTTAATTTTAAATAAAATATGTATTTAGTTTTTGAAAGCCCTAAACAATTGAAGAATTTTTGTTGTTGAATAGTTCGGGTAAAAATATATGTATTTTTGTTTTAATCAACTATTCATATCAAAATTGAGAATTGGATTAATAAAGTTTGAAATGGTAAAATTTGTATTAAAATGTAATATACATGTATGTAACAACATTATCCTGTATGTTTAAAAAGAACAATGATGATTTTAAACCTTGTAGATTTACATTGAGGCCAGCATAGTGATCACAAAACTTCTCTTTTTTTTAAACAGAAAAGTAACATTTTTTGTTTTACTTACGTAGCAAAGGTGGTTGTTCCGACAAATGCTACCTTTCCTAACCATCCCTTTCCGATGATCTCTACCCGAGTACCAATCTTGACTGGCTTTTCAGCCATATTCTGTCCTTCTCTCTGTTGATAAAAGTGGAGATAATGTGTGTTATGTAACAGCTTTAATACAGAGGTGAAAGAGGAAACCTCTCCAGGCAATGAGTTAAATATATAATGAAATAAGACAAATTAGAAATGAAACTCAATGAAAGTTTTAGTAAAATACAATTTAAAGGACAGAGCTACAACGTCCCAAAATTGGCAAGTATTATGATTTCCTTTGTTTTATTAATTTTATACCAACAAAAACGACCACATAACATTTCCATTAATCCTCATTACCAAGTCCATTGGGTAGAACTTCAGGCCACGGGTCATCCTGGTTGCTTACTTATAACAGGCAGGTCCATGGTCATGAAAACATGTACATGAACGGGGGCATGTTTCACAAAACTGCCATAAGTACCATTGAAAGGTGTATCAATCTAAATATGTGCATTTCAATGGGACATTAACATAGTTGTACCTGTAACAGTTTTGTGAAACGATACCCAGGCTTCCATATTTACCCATGAATAGTTCAAAGCCGATTGAAAAGAAAGATCTTTTTGATAAACATCACACTGGTCATCTTCCTGGGTGGCCATATTTCATACAAAACTGCACTCTTATGACAATCTTGTACATGTACAATGTACATATACAAGTGATAAAACTGCTGGAACTAGTATGCTACACACGTGATGTATGTCTGTAAAAACCAGTGAACTTCATGCGGTACTAGCAATTGTTATGGGGCTAGAATAGTATAATGTACATGTACACTGAGAAGTTGATGAATCCATGCACTGGTGGTCTTCATACATGTACATGTCATTAGGATGAATTCATTCCTTTGTTGAGGCACTTAAGGACCGACCTATCAAATTCCAAAAGAGCTCATTGAATACAGTAGCTTTAAGTCAAAGGATCAGTTCACACAAATGCATTCAAATGTATTCATGAATGCTTTGGACCCCGAGTGCCTCGATTGTGATAAACTATTTACATTCACCTGATAATCAATAGGAAAAATGTGAGATGGATGGAAAATTTGAGGTTGTTATTTAAGTTATTTAAATACAATGTACATGTAAAAGTAAATAGGATTAATGCAAATTCCAGTCACGGGAAGCCCCCCTCCCCCCCCCCCCCCCCCCCCAACCAACGTTTTGACTAATTTCTGAATATGTTAGTAAGAAGGTCTATTTGATCAATATATATTTGCCCAAAAAGAAATCTGAATAGTGAATATATTAGTTTCGCCACACACATGCAGTCTCACACATCTGCAAGAATCTTCAGCAGTGAAGGAGGCAGATTATCTTGAAGAAGAAGAAGGTATTTGATCAAAATGTATTTGTCCATAACAAAACAAAAAAATTAAAAAGGGGTCCACAATATCAAAAGTATATGTAGGATCAAACAATAAGCATTTGTTTTGTTTACACTCTGCAGTAGGGACTGAATTTCTATATAATGTGTTTCATTGCTTTGTTTGTTTGTTTGTTTATTTGTTGTTGTTTTGTTGTCTTTTATTTTGTACAGAAACTGCAAAACGACATTACCAAAATTTGGAAACTTGAGCTTGATTTTAGAATATCTGTCACAATTTTTGCAGTTGGTAATCTAATTGAAAAAAAGAATTAAGATGGTCAATTTAAAAAACTATAAAAGTTTGCCTTCATGATTTAATAGACCTGAAAATTCCAAGTATGATCTTCCATATTCTTATAATTAATGCATCTCCAAATTAAAAAAATGTTAAATAATATGAACCTTTCTTGAGAATAAAGATTCCACTGATGCATTAAATAAGGAAAACATAAGAGGAAAATGTTGCATGATGCAGTGCTATTGTCAAAGAAATACCCCATGGCTGAAGGCTTTAGGGCTAATATGTTTAATATATTTCATTTAGGGTTTCTTTTTTATGGGGGGGGGGGGCTGTTTCAATGTCTCAAGTATTTGATATACAATTTGCTGAGCTATTTCAGCTTAGGCAACTATACTACATGTAGAATATTCAAAATATCCAGAGAAAAAATTCTTTGTTACAATGTAGATTTAGGATGACAAATTTTTTTTTTTTTTTTCTTCAATCCATCGATAGATTCTTTATTGTAACCATGAATTGATCATGTGGAATTTTTCAACTATGTCTACCAAGGGCAAGGTAGTCAGCGATCTTGGTCCTTTGAAATGAGTTTGAGAATATATTTACCTAAATGTAGGTCGGACTACATGTAGGTATCTCAAGTACAGCTATCTGGTGTACAAGGTTATCTTAAAGGAATAATTGAGTTTTGTTGCAGAGGGCGTTACTCAAAATAATTATTTGTGAGATAATGAAAAACTGAATGTCAAATTTGAAAGAATTTACAATTAAGATGACAAAATCATCTTTGTTAAATCATAATCGCCCCACAAATATTTGTTAATTTTGAACCAGCCGTTTAAAAACGAGATAGTATAGTATTAATGACTGCTTTGAGAGAAATAGTTGTTTTTATACGCTCAAGGGAAGGTTAGAATTGTGCTATTTCCCGAGGCGTGCCGAGGGGAATAGCCCAATTGTAACCTTCCCGAGAGCGTATAAAAACAACTATTTCTCGAATATTAAAGCAGTCATTAATACTTTTATATGCCAAAAAAAAAGAAAGAAAAAAAAAAAAAAAAAAAACTTTTGTCGAAGATGGGATTCGATCTCTTGCGTACAAAAGGTGATGTAACTAAAGTCAGCGCCTCAAACCACTCGGCCAGCGCGCTCTGTCACCATGTACAGTAGTTTTCTTTAATATATACATTAAAATGAATTGAAAACGGCTTCGCGTGGTCGATGCTTCGCTGCTGCTCCATTAAACGGGCCCTTCTTTTACTTTTGCAATGCATATTGGCACGAACTTAGATCAAGATCTATCGGCAGATGTTGTTTTTTTTGTTTTTGGAAGTTTATTTTCGTCTTCATGTCAACAATGCAAGATAAAATTGTCGGTGAGATCGATCGAGATTCAATTGTATTGAAATTACCGACCAATTCTTCGCACACGTACGGTATCCTCGATCGCTCAGACCATTTTTTAACATGTAAACCTATGGGGTAACCATGGAGACTGACCTATTTTCCCAATAACCATGGTTATTGGGATTTTGAACTGTTTTTTAACCATGGTTACCGGGAATTTTCGGGAACAGTTAAAGTTTATGAATGCAATTTCGACCAATCAGATTGCTGGATTACTTAAGTGAGGTATATAATGCCTTATACGTTTTTTCCAGCTAATGCCAATATATTGGCTTTTTCGTGTTGGTTATAATATGCACAACCAGCTAGCCCGTGTCTTGTTATTATTAATCAATTAATTAATTAACGGTCACCATATTTTTTTGAAAGTGGAGCTGAATTGGTATGATCGTATTCAATCTAAATTCACACATTATGGAGTCGAAAATTGGAGGAGAATAATTGGAGTGAATAAGAATAAGAGCAAAAACCATGCACTTTGAAGGCATTTACGGTCTTAAAGGTAAAGACCAGTTATGGTCATGCGATTGCATTGTGAAAGAAACGTTGTGGAATCGATCAGAAAAGGTTGATCATCTAGCATCTAGCATCTGCAAGGTTCTGGAATCATCAAAATGATAAGAAATTTGGCCCATTCTTCGTAAAGTTACAAGCACTATACACAGAAAGATGTATATGGGACTACCCTATATCTCTCACAGACCATGAGAGAAACAAATTTACCAAATATATGAATTATTAGGTGGTTTCCCGGCAAATTTTTTATCATCATGTATTAGTCAAAACATATTCTTTCACATGATAGGTAATGAGAGCTTCCATTTCATTTTTTGAAATTGGGGCGTTTCCAATACTGGTCTTTACCTTTAAACAAGAACTTAACTATCCTTCATAGACCCAAATCATACATGCCAACATTTGAAAATCAGAAATCTGTACAAATTATGCTATTTTCAAAAAAAAGAGGAACAATCCTAACTCTCCTATTCAATACTACAGACAAATTTGTACAGGAAGAGGAACACGGCCTGCATTAAAATGATAATTATCTTCTCCCAAAAAGAGGAATGTTCCTCTTTAATCTGAACAGTTGGCATGTATGCCTACATCATGAGAAGGGGCGCTGGTTCGAGAATAAGGATCGTCCGCAAACTGAGAATATCCTCATTTAAGCGGATGATCCTCATTCTCGGACCAGCGCCCCTATTGTACATGGGCCAGGAAGGCTAATCTACAGCAGATATATTTATTTTTAGTTTATTTCATTTTTTACTTGTTTTAGTTTCGTCAATTTGTGAAAGAAAAAAAAGCACAAAAAGTTTCAGCTCGTTCATATCGGTTATCACATCACACATGATCTAACATTGACTTCTATATTTGATTACTGAACCCTATTCATTTTCAATTTAATGCCCAATTCGTACCCTCTCAAATATTTAATTATTAACTTGTTTGGCTTTTTCCCCCACAGACTCATCAACATCAAAACATGACATCATATCCTAGATATGGGACCGTTCTAAAGAAGTGGTAACGCCTTTTCCTTCTAAACATCGACATTGGGCCAAATATATATCAAAGCACTTCTAAAATAGTTAATTCAAACTTAATAACAAATACGTAAGAAAATTTGAGCTTACCTATTCACAAACTAGCCTGTATTATGCTAACTTTTCAGCAGATTGCCAGCTTGGAAGTTGTCAATATTTGGCAGAGATCGAGACACTTCGTAACCGCAATTTCGGCCAACCCAAGAAAAAACGAAAAAACATTCGAGCCATAAATCTAGATACCTCGGTCTGGTTATTGTAAATTGAATTTCATTTGTTCATGTTCATTTCATTTTCACTTCATTTCATTTCGAGGAACATAAAGGATTATAACAATAACAATGAATACAAGAAAATGAGTTACAATAATAAATAAAATAACAGAATTTTCAGGGAGTCCGCTGATCTTACTTTTCTAACGTAGACCCTAGGCCTTTTTTTTTTTTAATCAAGCCTCCAACGCCTCCCCTATGTTATCATTGTTGTTGTTGCTGTTATAATTATTATTATAACAATTTATTATTGTTATAATTTCTATTATGATCTTTAGTTTCATTATTATAATTATTATTATTATTATTATTATTATTATTATTATTATTATTATTATTCACATCATCATCATTATCATCATCATTATTATTATTATTAGTATTATTGTTGTTATTATTATTGTTTTTGTTACATGTATTATAAGTAGTATTAGTATTACTATATCATTATTATCTTTATTATAGAAGTGCACCTGCAAACATCTTTAAATGGTTTGTGTAGACTGAGGGTTCACAATCTGCTAACTACACTGTTGCCAACTAAGTTGGAATATATTTTTTCTTCTAACCTCTTTACATAATGATTGTGCAATCCGATTCTCAGAAGTTTAACGATCAATCTTTGTGACTTTTTAGATTGATCCCCCAAAAATATGAGATGAACTTTATCTATCAAGAATAAATCATATTGTTAACATCGTTTTATGAAAAGAGGTAACAACAAAAAATAGACCAACTTTATGGGCAACAGTGACGTAGGACACTCGGGGACAGAACGCCATGTGCAAATGTGATGACGTAACAAGTAAATAAATGTTGTTCATGGGCCTTACTTACAGCAGGTGCTGAATAAAGAAGATAATTGTAATGCCGTATTTGACTCGACAGAAATGAAATAGAGATCAAGATAAAGTTGAGTGCTGCATGATAATGCGATTAAATTGAAATGATTGAAGAACACTGTGAGGTTTTGAAATGCTCAAAATTAATATTAACTTGCTGACAACCACATGCACTACTGACACAAAAAGGTATACACACTCAACAACTAAATTATCCATATCCCTTGTAAATGTTGAGGTTTCTTGTCTTTGAATTTGGTAACTAAAGGTGGACTGGCTTAATGACGTTATTTTGTCGTTGTCAATTACTTTTAATTGTAAACAAATCAAAATACCTTAAAAATTATAAAACCTGATAATAGGTATGAATAATTTAGTTGTTAATTGTAAGTACTACACGTACATGTGGCCTGAAAGTTTGGCCGAAAGTTTTCAGCTGTTTCTTTTTATATTTATATGATTGATTGATTGACTGATTGATGTTCATTTATTTTCCATATATAGGGCCTACATCATCACAAATATAAGAATTTTTAACATGCATGATCGCGTAAAATCATACATTATTTAAAAACAGGGTTCGTCATAAACACAGCTTTAGCTGACGTCCTCAGTATTATAAATAAAAAATGTTCATACAAAATCTCCAAATTATATAAACAATGCACAGCGGAAAGCGGCTAACCAACACAATGATGAACGGGAGAGAGAGAGAGAGAGAGAGAGAGAGAGAGAGAGAGTAAGGAGGGGAAAGGGCGAGGGGAGAGCTGCATTTAAATAATAAGGACTTTTAGATTTTCACGTCGACAAAGTGGACTGCTACGTGTGACGTCCTTTAAAAGGACGTCACACGTAGCAGTCCATTATGTCGATGTGCAAATCTAAAAGTCCCTAGTTTCAAGGGAAACATTTAGGCCCGAATTCACAAAGGAGGTTTGTCGACAAACCAAGGTTTATGTGCGTCATATGACGCGTTTCGACGCGTTTTTAACCAAACCTCCTTTGAGAATTCGGGCCTTAAAATCTGTGGATACCAAATACCTTGATAAAATTCCTGGCAACTGAAATATTCATATTTTAAGGTACAAGGATACATGCTATAAAATAAGAACAGTAGGTCCATGTAAATTTCCATGCATAAATATTAATGTTACAGATAGAGGCATTAAAATTGTTTTGTGATGCTATATGAAGGGCAATTCTTTCCAGGGGACATTTAATCTTTACAGTCAAGTTTGAAATTAATAATTTTACTATAATACTACTCCATAATGCAAGTTGAGTTACATAATTATGTTTATACATCGTGTGAACCTGTTTGCTTTTGACAAGGACTTGAGGTCAAGCTTTGCTAATGACGATCCCTTTTTTCTCTTTATTTTTACGATTTTATGTGACCATGTCAAACATTCAATTATTAATGATGATGATGTATAAGGAAAATAAATGAACATCAATCTATCAATGGTTTGCTATACATGGGGCGCCATAGGAAAATGATCTATATGGGGATAGATATTTCCCCTTTCCCCTTCAAACCTCTAGCAAAAAATTGTCAAAAACATTCAGATTTTTGTCTTCTTTCCTTTAATAATGTTAACATCTAAGAGTGCATATTATTCTTATTATACATATCCTTATCTATCGCCAAAGCGCACTCAAATGTTGTCCGAATACCACCCCCCCCCCCTCCCCACCCGCACGCAGGACGCAGTGACTGCTCTGGCTACAGCTCTGTACTAAAAAGATTAGGATAAACAACGCCACTTATCGGTCTTAGTTTCTAAAAATAATACCACAATATTTACATTACAACGTTTGTCCAAAGTCAAGATACCTTTTTGTTTGTATGTTTCCTTTACTATTATCATGTACAGAATTTGTTATTTATCTTTCATTTACTATTGTCATATAAAGAGCTTGATGGAATATACTACATCTGTTTGAGAACCGAAATCCGATGAAAATCTTAAATCATCTTATCAATTGTTGTGGAGGCTTATTAAAAGCTTATTAACTGTTTATTGAAAAACGGATGATGCCCTAAACAGATAACCTAAATATCTTCAAGATAAGGGATAAAAGGAGTATAAATTTCCTTAAAAATCGCATCTTTTAAAATCATAGTTTGAGTTTCAGTCAGCATAGACAGACCTCGATCATAGTAAGTCATTTCTCCGATAATTTCAGTCGTTTCAATGGTTTGTGATTTAATTTGTAGACATGTTTAGAGCTGTTCTTGCTGCAATGAAAATTTTCTTCTCATTACACGAGGTTGTATGACATAAGCATGGTATTTTGTCTTCCTTTCAAATTTGCTAATATCTTTCTACTGCTATCTAAGGCTTCGAGTATAGTTATATTAAATTTTCTTTAGTCTTTGGGGTTTCGTGCAGTGTAAACCTGCTGATAAAAACAAAGAAATCTTTGAGAAAAGAAATCTATTTCACCATCGGAAAGTCTTATAACAAAAAAAAAAGTAATTCATGAAAGGTTGGGCACACGTTGCCGAAAAAACAGATTGCATTTAGATATTGTATCATATACATATTACTCATTTCGTTATTCTCTATGTTCAAATCCGTTTATTTATAACCTGGTTTGCAATTTTTTTTATTTTTTAAGTCGTATCGTAATTTTCTATATTTATTTATATTTTTATTTGTTAAAATGTATATACTTTTTTGTGTTATGAAGGGCCTCAACGAAAACCAGTATTTATTTACTGATTGGGCTACCCTTCTTTTAAAAGATGTGTAATAAATAAATAAATGAATAATTTTTAAAAAATACTTCAGATTTTCTTTCATCCGGGGCTTCACCAGAGGCAAGACGACATGGAGCTGACAACTCAGCTCATTGAAAAAGTAGACGCCTTGACCACCAGCCACATATGCAACCTCTTCCTATCATCACTAGCCTTGCAAATTCGCATTTAATTTTCTTAAGTAAGACCAGTGCCCGCCCCCCCCCCCCCCCCATCACTGCATTACGTGTCCCCTCAATGTTTGGATTCGATCACGTCACACCACTGTCCCAACCCAACGGCAGTAGCAAGGATTTTTTTTTCTTTCTTCCTTTTAAATCTAAAACCAATTTTTTAATAATCATCACGGTTCATGAAGCCGTTACTGGTGACAGTAATCAGTTGCTACCTTAATTATTTATGCTAAGTCATTTTATATATATCATTGTTTTTTATTATAAATTACTATTCACTAGAAGATGCGTGCTTTCACTGTCTGCCTCTTGGCCTGTATGGCCGTCTCAGCTTACGGGATCGCCTCGTACAACACTGCTACAGAGGAGATCCAAAACCGCTATCTCGTTGCTCTCAACGTAAGTATTAAAAATCAAGTCATTTGTCGAAAATACACCGTTGCCCATTAAGCTGGAGTAGTTTTTTCTTACCTATTTTCTTGACATGATTGTGACAATATGGATTTTTCTTATATCTTCTCAGAACTTTATTGGTCGATCTCTATGACTCTTTAGATGGATCAATAAAGCTCTAAGAAGATGTACACTTTATCTACTCAGAATAAATCATACTCTTACAATCACGTCTTGAAAAGAGGCCCCCCCCCCCCCCCCCACTCCGAGAACGGACGGACCGCATGCGTGTTACCAAAATGTCCTTTCGTATCAAAAGAAAAAGGTCGACCCCTATTGACTTTACACACCGGACTTTTGCTGAAAAGGTGGGGGGGGGGGGGTGCTGAAAAAGGCATATGCGTACTCTAAATAACACTGAGTGGGGGGGGGGGGGGGGAGAGGTAACAAAATATCATCCCAAATTTATGGACAAAAGTGTTTAATATTCGAATGAGATACCATAATCCAAAGAACAATATTCTAATATGATCATTAGATATTCAAATTTAACTTCAACCACTACGGTTGCTGCAGTTGCGACTTCTGTGTGACAAGACATTGATCTACCTTTACCGCTTTGAACCCGGGTGAAAAAAGAAAATGGGTAACGGGTGGGAGAAAATGCCTTGAACGCGTAAGCGCCCTATCGTGGAAGCTTGGTTAAAGTCAACAATGCTTTGTATTCAAAATGAAAAATAAAACTCTTTTATAGTGAATAATTATGCTCGACTAGTATCAACATCATCATCATCATAATAATAATCATATAATCAGTATGATAGATTATTTTTTGGAATTTAGCTCTACAATACACCAGTTTACAGTTGTGTGCGCCATTTTAAACAAGGCCAATGACCTAGAGGTCATGTATTTATGCGTAAATTAAGATTGCGCCCATGCAAATTATGATGATATCACTGCCTGCGCGCTGCGTTGTGCGCGCATATCATCATTTGCATGGGCGCAATCTTAATTTACGCATAAATACCAGAGGTCAGAGGTTATTGGCCCCAATTTTGGGGCAATAACCTCTGACCTCTGTCTGCGCATGCGCACTGATACAACTGTAAACTGGTGTATAATCCACTTTTTTTTAAATTGGGGAGTCTTTATGTTCCACTTGTTAAAATATAGCCTAAACAATAAGTAACCTCTCGACCAAATCTAGGCTCTAGGCACATGCAAGGACAAGGTTTATTTTTCGTGTCTTTTACCAACATTGTGGATTAGATGTTGTAGAATAGAGATCTTGACCATTCAAGAGTATACCCACTCCCCCGCAAATACATGAGATAATCTTTTCTTTTCCTTCAATCTTCATTCATTGAGGGTTTATCGATCAGTTGATTCTTACCATCACGGTATTCATCATATCATTTTTTTTCTTCGACACCCAGGACGAGGTCGATGTTGGCCAGATTGCTGATCGTCTTCAGAAGGCTCTGAACACTCGTCGCTTCCATCTTGGCAAGGTTCTCAAGACCTTCACTGCCGTCAGGGCTCTGTCTCTTGAGCTCAGCGAGGAAGCCGTTGACTTCGTAAGTATTCCCACCTCGAGTGCATTCAGGAAAAAATGTCAAGAATTCGCGCACTTTGACAATAACTATTCCTCTCCATCACGATCTTGTTTTTATTTTTAACAGTGGATGCTGCCAACATACTTGGTTGCATGTAGCATGAAATTAATGAAGCAATTTTCGACCGTCACTCAAACCTTTCAAAAGCTTTACATTTTGATACCTGTGACTAAGTCCTACACCTACACATAGGTTTTCATTTTCGTACACTCGTCAATCGTCATCATACTCGTCATCTCTTGTAATCTCATGATTAAGAGAGATGACGAGTTAGAATGAAGTCAGAATGAAGTTAGTCGAAATGCCGGAGTTTTTCGACGTAAAATGGAAAGAAAATCTTAGCACAAACTAAATCAGCCTAAACATGACAGATGTACGTGTTTTTAATGAGAGTTATCTATCATGCACTTTATTTATATAGTTCATATTTTCTGCGACCTATGAGACCAATGATGTTAGTTTCCCGCGCTTAATGAGATTTCAGGAGACTGACAGAATATGGACATGTCGCTCTTGCGGGACTTCTGACAACTTTTCTGAAGGTTCACGTGACTGCTTTATTCTGCCTCGTATAGAGCGTATAGGTTGTCGGCCTCTCCGGCTGCCGGTTTCGTGGATCGTCAATATTTGGGGTTGTAGGTCTCATGAAACCTCAAATCAGTTTTAAAGAAGGCATTTTGTCTTGAAAATGTGTTCATGGTTCTCGTCCTGCACTATACATCTGGATAAACTTGGTACCACTAACGATTTTTATTTTTGTTCGTTCGTAGGTTCGTCGCTTTGATGGCATCGTAACTGTTGAAGAGGATGGTGTTGTCCGCACTCAGGCCGTCGCTTCCTGGGGTCTTGACCGTATCGACCAGAGGAACCTTCCTCTTAATAACAACTATAACTCAAACTGTAAGTCCTCATCTCTTTCCGTTGCCGGTGGGTTCTAAATTTTACACTAACTTCGGGGACCATTGCTCCGGCGACTATTTCTCTGGCGACCATTGCTCCGGCTACCGTTGCTCCACGGCCAAGTTCCTACACTAACCGAATTCCTAACATTTGACACCGGCAATATCTTACCTTAAAACTACATGAAGTTCGAAACAAAACTAAAAACTAACTTCCCTAACACCCCTGTCTTCTTGTGTATAAGGACTTCCTGAAAAACAGGCTTGTGGCTGCCTGAGCAGCCCGGTCCCCCCCCCCCCCCCCCCAACTCAGGGGTCGGAATGACCGCATGCGTGTTGCAAAAATGTCAAAGTCCGGCCCGAGAATTGTAAAAAAAAATAGGTGTGTACTTGCCTTTTCACCCGGAGATTTCTTTAAAAAGGGGGTGTTTTTTTCTTTTTTTCTCTCATCTCTTTGGACTACTGAGAAATTATTCTGAATTTAGGGGGGTACATTTAGCATTTTTCCTGATTTAGGGGGGTCTCCAAGGCAGGAAAAGCCCGCGAAAAGCCCGCGAAAGGGAGGTTCGGAAATGTTGGCAGTCCTCAGATAGGGGGTGCTTTCAAAAAGAGGGAACGAGCATATGCGTACCCTAAATAACACTGAGTGGGGGGGGGGGCGGGCTGAGCAGGTTTTTTATCACCGTATTGAAATAAATAAACAAACGAACAAACAAACCCTGATTGACGAAAAAGTCCGAGCACATTTCGCCGGAGTAATGTTGTATCACCTGGCACTGGCACTGTCTTATGAAGAACTACATCATTGTTCTTACCGTTGCTTTATTTCGTCAAGGATGTAGAGTTAGGGTAATGTTCAGGGTTGCCATAAGGTTTATGTTAGGTTTAGGTTTAAGTTTTGTTTAAAGATTTTCTTTAAATTACTTGAAATTGTTTTATTACTATTATGAACAACATAATTCATGACACAAGATCGCAAGTATATAAATTTTCGAAAAATCAACTTCGGGGCAATTGCGATACCATGTGTCAAGTCCTATGGAAATCATGTTCAGTTTACGTAATACGTCGTTGTCATGTGCCTACATTTCCCTAGGTGACGCTGAAGGCTATTAAAATTGCTTTAGTTTAATTTTGGAAAGTATTAAATACACCATTTTCAACCATTTGTTCTTACAGACGATGGATCTAACGTCAACGTCTACGTCGTCGATACCGGTATTTGGCAAACCCACAACGACTTCGGCCGTCGTGGCGCCGTATTTTACGATGCTGTCGGAGGCAATGTAAGTTTACAAAATTCGCTGTGAATTATCCAATATCCAATTATTCCATTTGCAATGTTTTGATCTACTTTTTATGGAGTCCTAAACATAAGCCTCGCGTTTGAGGGAGGGGGGGGGGCATTTCTATATGATACTGGTAAAAGGTCGAGCATTGATCTTAAAGCGTCATTCCAACATTGTACCTTAAAATAGGGCAATACCAACTTTTATTACCATTTCCTATCTTCCTCATCGTTCGTAGGGCGCTGACTGCAACGGACACGGAACTCACTGCGCCGGTACCGTAGGAGGTATCCAATACGGAGTCGCGAAGAACGCCAACCTGTTCGGTGTTCGTGTTCTCAACTGTCTTGGATCTGGCTCATTCAGCGGAATCGTTGACGGTAAGACAATCTTAAACAAAGACATTCCAATCTAGTCAAATCAATGGAATCGAATCGAATTGAATGGAATTAAATGAAATTGCATTGGCAGGATTGGATCGTCATCAATTATTCAGGAAAATAGTAAGGTTATGTTTATGATGATGGTAAGGATCGAGGAGAAGGAGAAGGAGGAGGAGGAGGAGGAAGACAGTGACGGTAGTGATGATTTTAATGACAATCTAATTGTATCTATCCGTTCTACCAGGTATGAACTACGTCGCCCTCTACGGCAGCAAACCAGCGGTTGTATCCATGTCTCTCGGAGGTGGAGCATCCTCCCTCATCGACAACGCTGTCAGGAGCCTCTTCAACAGGGGATTCTTTGTCTCCGTGGCCGCTGGAAACAGCAACGACAACTCCTGCAACTACTCCCCAGCTCGTTCCGGCTACGTGAGTATTTGGCCTTTCCCATATGCCACAGCCACGCTAGCGAGACTGACAGGAGATCGACTGTAGATCACACCAAAATTGATCACACGGCCAAAAAAAAAAGATTTTGAATCAGTCTAGAGTCGGTTTGATGACTTAGGTATCACACTTAATAATACGACAATAGACCGAACAAACTGTACATTACAATGAATTGACAATAAATTAGTCGGTTTGGAATCGGTCTGGAAGTCGGTGTTGCAGTGTGACTGTGGTATTGATTGCAGGAGAATTATTGTAAAGTGAGATGTCATTCGAAGTATTAGAATATTATTTCTCAGTTGTTAAACTGACATTGAATCACTGTTTGACATACTATTAATGACAAAATAATATGTTAATGATAGAATGTTCCAACGACAACTACTTCCGGGTTAATTCCATACACTGACTGAATTCCTACCTTTAACCTCGGATCTCAGTAGACGGAATCCTAACTTGACCCTAACCCTTACCATGACCTCAAACATTCCATCACAACACTAAATCCAACTGTAGATCGTTCATTTGACGGAAATGTTGCAAGAGCAAAATGTTAGAACACCCCAAATATTAATGAATATTCAAATATTCATTAGTATATTCAGAATCACACAACGAAACTCATTTTTCCGTTTTCAGGCCATGACTGTCGGTGCCACCGACAACAGGGACGCTCGTGCTTCCTTCTCTTGCTACGGCTCCTGCGTCAATATATGGGCTCCTGGTGTAGACATCACCTCCGCCTGGATCCGATCCGACAGTGCTACCAACACCATCAGCGGTACCTCCATGGCCTGTCCACACGTCTCAGGTAGGTCTATTCACAACGTGGTTTACAGTAACAGTATCGGATCTAGGGCAGGGGGGGGGGGCATGGGAGGAAGAAAAGAAAAGCATGGTCTCATTACCTCTTTTTTTTCTGTCAAAGAATTTATACACACAACGGCATATCAAAAACTTGATGACGATATTTTCTTTTGGGAGTGGGTGTCACCCATCAATAGAACTAGAACGATAAGTCAAGAGTAGTCCTTGACGTACCATTTGAGAATTACATTTTGGAAGTACTTTCCTCCACCCGGGCCTCCACCACTAAATATTAGGGACAAATAGGCATGATTTCCTATGAGGAATGTGGCACCATTCGGGTATTCACTAGATATCAAACAGATATTATTCATCACCGGAGTTGACTTTACTTTTACGATCGACAATTCTTATAGGTCTTTCTTCATCGGCTCTAGTTTACCAAATAATCCGCTATTTTCAGATATTATCCCGAAGCTCGAAATTGCGTCTTTACCAGGCCGATATGCTCATCACAAACTAGCTCGGACGGGCGCAAATTAGCCCGTTATTTCCCAAATAGCGGGATATTTGAGAAACAAGACCAACATTTCTGGGATATTTTCTCGACCAAATAGCCCGCTCATTGCAACTGCGGGCTGATGAAAACGCAATTTAGCTGGCTTATTTGAGATTGGGCTAGTTAAAATAGCGGGCTATTTTGCAACTTCGGTCTGATGAGGACAGCTATAGGTCTCAATCCGATTTCGCTGCGTGCCAGACTTGTATATTATGTACGCACAATAGTGGTCTTTCGACCTAGTCCGCTACGTGTCAGCAAATTATGTCATACTGGGCCAGACTTGTATATTATGTACGCACAATAGTGGTCTTTCGACCTAGTCCGCTACGTGTCAGCGAATTATGTCATACTGGACATGGAAACTGCCAAAAAGTAATATTTCTTCGAATCTTACCACCGTTTCTTTCGCTTTTCTTCTGCAGGTGTCGCCGCCCTGATGCTCCAGAACAACCCCAACACTGACCCAGGCACCCTCGGAAATGCCATGCTGAGCAACGCTACACCAGGACTGGTCACCGACATCGGTTTCCTCTCACCAAATCAACTCCTCTTCACCGTCTAAATGTTATACATTACGACTTTTTGTGATGAGTGCAATACATGAACTAGAATAAAATGAATACAATTGTGATTATGTAACTCAGAATATTAGAGGTAAATGCATTTCTTTGTACTCGTATTGCTTGCAGTCGTATATTCATGTACGTGGACTATGGTTGAACGTTAGTCCCATGCAAAGACAGATTAATAATTAGTCCCCTGATTTATGGAAGACCAATCGTCGAGCTCAACAACAAAATGTAATTCTGTAACGAAGACATCATAAGTGAATTTAATGCATTATTATAATGAAATGAAAATGAGAAATTGATTTTATAGTATAGATATATTGACTGCTATGAGAGGCATCGCTGTTTCTAAAGGCTCAAGGGGACGTTACATGCTGATATGACCCCTCGGCGCACCTGGGCGTCCCCGAGAGCCAGTATAGGAAAAGCTATGCTTCAAATATTAAAGCAGTCGATAATATCTTTAATATACTGAATTTACAAACAAATCTACAAAGAATTCTTACTTTTAATTATCCTTTTCTTGAGTAAAGACTGGTTAAAACATCACAGAAAATCTGAGACACTGTAAATCTTCGCTGGAAAGTTACCTGAATGGTACGATCATTCGGGAATTGCAGACAAAAAGCACTGTATGGAATCCGCGCTCGCACAAAGAAACTTTGTATACGTAAACCAATGGAGATCTCAGCAAAATGTATTTATGCGGACCCGGGGCATGCGGGCATCTTTAAAAAAAAACTAATGACCGGTAGGCGGGCATGGCTAAAATCACGACTCCAATTTCGACCAATCGGATGACTAGATTTATTCAACATACTAAAGAGATGTATATAATGAATTTTAAGTTGTGAAAGCTAGGTTACAGATTGTTGGTAATTGGGATGTACATTGTAAATGTTGACACTTGGCGCTTGATAAATCAGTGAACTAACTCGATTCAATTTTAATTTTAATTCAATTCAATTCAAACAATTTTATTTCCATAGCTCAATGAAAACATGACAAAATGCTTACATGAAACAAATATCAAATAACATCGTCAATATAACATAGAAAACTTTAGCTCTACACCCCCCCCCCCTGTCAACGCCCTCCTTTGTCGGGATTTAAACCTGGACTGCAATTATCACACTTTAAAGAATACCAGTCTGTGTGTTTTAAGAGATTACGGATAGGACGTTTTAATAATACGCCTATGATACCCCGGATGATTCCTTTCAAAGCTGAACGATGGGACGGGCAGAATTGAATGGATAGTTTTCGATCATTAGAGGCAATTGAGAGAGAGAGAGAGAGAGAGCGAGAGAGAGAGGGGGAGAGATAGAGAGACGGACAGACAAAGATGTACTATTGCTAGAACTTGATGTACATGTATGTAAAGAGGAAATGAAAGAGGGGGATAGCATTCATAATCAGAGAGTGGGGTGGAGCGCAAAGTATAAGGAAGGAGACAGAAAATAGAAATGGGGAGAGGTAAAGAATGTTGTGAGTGATTGTAATATACGTCATTTCTACTTGAAAAAACATTATAATTTATCAAAACTGAACTTATGAAATAAAACTTATCATAACTTGAAAACATTTGAATTGACCATTATAACGTATAACTTATGTCTTTGACGCAATTTCAACAATCATTTCTAGTTGTTATAGTGATGATCTTAAAGTTATAGACCAGTTTTGGAAACGCCCCCTCTCCAAAAATTAAATGAAGCTCTTATTACCAATCATGTGAAATAATATGTTTTGACTAATACGTGATGATACAAATTTGCCGGGAAACCGCCTACTAATTGATATATTTGGAAAATTATTATATCTATCTGGACCGGATGGATACCGCGCACGTGTCGCGTAGTCCCATATACATCTGTCTGTGTACAGTGCTTGTAACTTTACCAAGACTGGGCCACATTTCATATCATTTTGATGATTCCAGAACCTTGCAGTACACACCAATACTTATATGCTAGATGATCAACCTTTTCTGATTGATTCCGCAACGTTTCTTTCACAATGCAATCGCATGACCAGAACTGGTCTTTACCTTTAATCCTTTAATATAATGATACTACCCCGAAAAATGAAGTAAAAGGGGAATTTCTCCCCTTATGAAATATCACAAGGGGTTATTTCTCCTCCCCAGACATTTTTAAAATCATCATCAAATTTGTTCAAGTAATGATTTAACCCTGTCGAACCCAAGTACGAAAAAGACAAGAGAAATACACAAGGCATGAAGATGAGACCTTGCTTTTCATGTGTGATCGAAGTTGCTCTAAAGCGAAAAGTTCAAAACTGCAAGATGGAGTATTTTGTCATTTGGTCGCAACAGGACTTTACATAAAGAATGCAATTTTACACTGCAAAATTGCAAGTTATTGTTATTCGGGAGGTGATCGAACTATTGCAGACCCTTGCCCAATCGGTCGCTAAACTTCAACAAATGTAGCTCACCTTGTCAAGAAATCGCCATTCAAATTTGCCACTCTCGACCCAGGTGCAGTAAATGGGTTCCCTTCTTTGCATACTTGGTTCGCCGTATCATTTTTTGTCCTCTTTACCTCTTCAGAGGGACTTTAATATTCCATTTCAAAATACATATAGACTATTTACAAAACAAGTAAAATGAAACATATGAATTATATACAAGATCAAATTAATTTCTTAAAATGATCATTATAACATTTCTATTACTTTCTTAATTTCTTATATTTTTCTTTGTATTTCAAATAATATCTCAATGATTAGAAATATTTTATTAACCTCTTTGGATTGGTTGGTACATTCTATGTAAAAAAAAATTATCTTAAGAGGGTAATATCCTATGAATTGATTTGAAATTCTTTTTTTTTTGATATTATTGTCTCTTATCTTATTAAATTTGAACTGAAATATATCTTTCCAAACAAATGTTTCTGGTAGGCCTTAAATATTTAGCTAAAAATGGAAACCAACTTTCTCTTTTCTTTTCTAACATTGAATTATAGTAACTTTTTGCTTGAATACATTCAGCCTTTATAACATCTAAAGTTTTCTCAATGTTCGCCGTATCATAGTAGCTCGGCTAAAGCCTGAAATAAATATGCGCTATATGAATTGACATATTATGATTATGTTATTTGTTTACATACAAACTTAATACAAGGAGTAAGCAATTATTGTACACATGAATAAGATGGAATTAAGCATTTACTACATTTATTTTGATGTATTTTAAAAATATTTTGATGTATATGTATCAAATTTGTAATTTGAACAAGAAAATGATTTAACACGTAAACAAATCCGAGATTAGAATTTTAAAATATATACAAAAAAGAATGAAGATAAAAAGATACAAGGTAGAAAAGGGTAATCAAAAATCATAATGCATTATTCTTTTATTTATTTTGGTCCTTTAAAGAAGGTAATTCAATCAAAAAATACTGCTAAGAAGTAATGACAATATTGACAATACTCCTGCAAACTGTTATGTTTATCTCAAAGTTGATTTGTGTACGCGTCTCTGAGAACCACATATCCAAGATAACAGTTGAGATATATTTTGTTTAAACAATGAACAAAGATGCTCATTAAAACAGACAATGGTTTGTTTCTAGTTGAATATCATGGTGATCTATATTTTGCAACGTTTTATCTTTTCTCTGAAACTAAAACAATGAGTAAAACAGTATTTATCACAAAGGCTTTCAAGAAATGGACTTAGGACAATCTCTATAATCTATTGCTTTACCTGTATAAAAAAAAAAACGTTCAGATTCTATGATTATTTCATCATAATAATGTCACCATTTCAAAAGGTGAAAACACACAAGGCTCTTGAATCGCTAGAGGTTGCTTTTTCGAAAGTCTTTGCAACCGCCTTTATTCTTTCAAGCCAAGAGTGACCATTCACTTGCCTAGAGAGTACTTACTTCTCAGAGGGTGTGGAACAAAGAGGCTGAGCTCCGGGGGTATCCCCCCCCCCCCCAAAAAAAAAAGAACTGTAAAAAGGGGGAAAGAGAAAGTGATGACGAAAGAGAGGGGATGAAAATGAAAAGGGGGAGGTGATAGGACCAGTCCAACGATACCCCATCAGCCCCTCCCTCTTCTCGGTGACATCATAGGAAGACTGGTGCCCCCCCCCCCCTCGGTTCCAGTGTCTCTTCAATGACTATATAGATCTACGTTACGCCACTAGTAAAGCAATCAGATTTTAACATGCGAGATCTATAATGCAGATGGCCTGCTTCTCCACCCCCCCCCCCCCCCTCGATCCATCATATTGTTTGTACGCATGTCCATCAATGTAATCATTATCAATATAAAAAGGTATCATTAAAGCCCCACCGCACTAGTTTGGCCAGGAGGAATTAGACCTCCCTGCAAGGTCACTGTCAGATTGTTATTTCATCAAATAAGCATTCAATTAACAAAATAAAACGTGGATCATGGGGGACCAACGGTCACCGGTTATGCATTGTTGATTATGTAGAGGGCGTAAGTAGTGCAATGGGGCTTTAAAGTAAAGGTTAAGGTTTTTTTAATGAACTTTTTGTTACTTTGGACTATTGGAAGAGAAATGATCATAAGATAAACGATCCCCGAAAGTAATTGCTCTCCACTTGCCTTCATGTTCGAAATAGGGCAAGAGATAGATTAAATATTTGGTCTACTACCCATTTAGTCTATTGCTCTTTTTGCTTACTCTCCATTATTATGATCTAATAATTATTTAATCATAAATGATGATAATCATCATATTAATATCAGACCTTATGGGTGGTAGACGAAATGGGCATTAGACACACTGGGAATTAGATTAACTGGTTATTCGATTTAATGAACAATAGACCATATACAGTAAATAGTAGACTAATTGGATATTAGAAAAATATGTAAATTATACCAAATGACTAATAGCTAATACATGGTCAATAGACCAAATGAAAAATAGACGAAATAATTATTAGACCATGAGGATAGTAGACGGGCTGGATGTTAACCTTATGGGAATATAGCCTACTAATTGGGTAGCTACATAGTAGACGAACTGGTTGAAGACCCAACGGCAAGTATTAAAATGATATGACAATAAGTGAGTTTAGTCCACCCATCTATCTATGTGACCAGTGCTTGTGATTTTCAGCTTGGTTTAGTCAACACTTTCATTTTGATAATTCAAAAACGTCCCAATATACACATATTCTTTTGTAAGACATAATCAACCTTTCCTAGTTGCTTCCGGTTTCTTTCTCAATAATGAAATCGCATGGCCGGTATTCTCAACTTTACCTTTAAACATATTTGTTATGATGCAAGTCTTGCAACAAAAACCTTAAAGGTACTATGTCCCATTTGCAACCAACGTCAAATTCTGGAGAACTTTGCAGGAGTTATGAATATGTCACGTATGTCCTATCTGTGAAATTGAAATGTTCGCAGTGTCCTATTATTCAAATTATGCAAGGAAACCCGTTTACTTTCTAGACTTCACTGTCAGATATTATTGAGTGACTGTCTACATCAATAAACCACTTCTTGTCATGGCCAAAATTAAACTGATTGAATCTTTGCGCAGCACAAAACGTACGACCATTCAGTACAAGGGTCTGGAAATCAGACTATTACTACAATTATTGCAATCCCTAAACTCGATTTGACAACTAATGTTCGTTATTTTCCCATTAACGACATTTTCAAGCCATTTCGCTTTGAGGGAAGTTCTAAATTAGCATTATCTTTCAAATGCCGTTGAAATGTAACCTTTGCATTTTTGGCCTGCAAATGGGACATACAGTAGTACCTTTAAAACATATTTGGTATGATGCAAGTCTTGCAACATACATCTTAAGAAAGAAAGTTGACCGATTTACTCATTGATTTATCTTGTTTACCCTCGACTTAATAGAGACAACAGTCGGTTCCCGTAGAACATGGGTTAACCAAGAAAATAAAGCAAACTTTGTGTGAACTAATTTCGTCAAAATATATGTTTGTGTATATGGTCTAACAAGTCATTGCATATATACGTTTGTAGCCTTAACTTGCTTAGAAAACAAAGAAAAACATTTCTTTTATTACATACCCGCTTGCAATAATCGTTTTACTTGCACAGTTCGTCCATATATGATTATGTGAATACGAAAATAATAGAATGACCACCCGCTAGCTAGATTTTACAAACAGGGAGTCAATAAACCTAGCTAAGAGCCTTATAATTAATCATCTTAAGTTTGGTGAGAATTTAAACATCTGATTCTTATTCCAAACCCGATATCTAGACCTACATCAAAATAACCACCTCAGTGGTTCCGGCGGTTTATATCTATGTGCGTCAATGAATCCTAATCTAAACAATGTTTTTTATATAAGGATGCTATCTTATTTATTTAAGGATTCTATTGACCACATGTCCTAAACCTAAAAACTCAAAAGTATAAATTTCGGGACATTTCGTCATTTCACATTATCGTTCCAGTTTCAGTCAATATAAACGGATCGAAATTACCAGATCATTGTAAGTACCTATACAGTTCTTGATTATGTTTTACTTTTATTTTACGTGACATTTCTACTTTAAAAATGAACAGTTGGTGTAGTATGTGACTGTTTAAGAGTGAATTATTGCGTATCTATAATATATTAAGAGTTTTAATCTAAATTATGGATTTCCAATTGTATCAATTCTTGTTGGTATATATTTAAGGGATATTGCCTTGCATCATTTTAATTAGATTTAAAACATCTAGCAATTATTTTCAATTTTTCACAAAAATTATATTCCCGTCGACCATCCTTTTTTGCAATCTAAATTCAATGCAAGACACCTGAAATTTGCTTTTTGTTGATTGCAGGGCACTTTTTCAATTATTTCGGATGTTCATTGTTTATCAAAACATTTGTTAATGTGGAAACAATTTCGCGAAAGCAATGCTTTTTGATGTGTCATTCCAAAATGCGCTACTAAAAAAGTAATACGTTGATACAGTATTTGGTTATCAAGACAATACATTTGTAACCTACTTGTTTCATTTATTGAAATACGTTCGTAAATTTCAGGCTATATCCCCCAATTTTCAATGCTTTAACGCTTATAAAAGTACTAATACAGAAATAGAGGACCGAGGGGCAAAAATGAAGTGTCAACATTTTCGTAAGTGAGGTTTTGATTTGTAATAACTTATGTTTAAAACTGCTTTCTATTTTATATGTATACATGTTATTTGCTACATATTCAATCTTTTTTATCGTTTTGAATGTTTCATAATACTTTTTTCTCCTCTTATTCTGTCTTGATTCTACTGTTATTCGATTGATGTCTTTGAATCAATAATAACAGAAAAGGACAAAGAAAGGAGCTAAATCCATGTTTACACTGATCATCCTACTATCATTTGAAATAAAGAGTTATAAAGTCGTCATACTGCTTACGTGAACGGACCTTGAATTTATTGTGGTCATGTGGATATCGGCACTGCCGGTTTTAATGTTCTACCGATAAAATAAGGAATTTATTGAATCATATAGTTAGTCATCTTTCTAGATTATTTTTCTTAAATCTTTTTTTCACCAGAATATGCGTGCTTTCACTATTTGCCTCTTGGCCTGTCTGGCCGTCTCAGCTTTCGGGCTTGCCTCGTACAATACTGCTTCAGAGAAGATCCAAAACCGCTATGTCGTTGCTCTCAAGGTAAAAAGGAATTCTTGATTTTGAAGAGGTTTTTATTTCTTCTTTTCCGGGTCCTTTCTCTTCTTCTTCTTCATCATCATCATCATCTTCTTTTTTCTTCTTCTTCTTCATCCTCTCCTTCTTCATCTTCTTCTTCTTCTCCTCCTCCTTCTTCAATTTTGTATGCACTGGTTATGGACTTAAACTCCATTGAAATAATACATTATCTTAATCTTGGTGGAAAATTGAACACCTGTTTCATCAAAACTAAAACCAGATTACTATCTCAAAGTACCATGTTGGTTTTACCAGTTTAGATCTACGTCATTCAGAAATGCTTGAGGTGGTAAACCGCGGCTTTTTAAAATGTATTTTATCTTGTTATTAGGGAATTCCAATACTTGATCCAATCATTATTTAAAAAACAATAGTATGACAATATGTCGTTTACTTGACAGTGCTACTTACCTCGTTAAACAACGCAAATGGATAAATTGAAAAGAATTGAAACGAAATAACTATCATAATACACATTTTGGAGGATTATTTACCTTGACATCATTACCACGTTTTCCTTGACACGGCCTGCAGGATGAGGTCGATGTTGGCCAGGTTGCTGATCGTCTTCAGAAGGCTCTGAATACTCGTCGCTTCAGACTCGGCAAGGTTCTCAAGACCTTCAGTGCCGTCAGGGCTCTCTCTGTGGAGCTCAGCGATGAAGCCGTCGACTTTGTAAGTATTCACACCTCAATGTAAATTTTTTTAAAACACAGATATAATCCAATATTTTACTTTGAGTAAATCGTCCTAATCATGATCTTGAATACGTTGCTCCATATTCAACAAATTCCGTTAAACCCGATCCAGTGTCTAAAGTCAAATTTAACAAATGCAAAACTTTGAACTCATTCTAACTTTTTTTTGTTTAACCATAATTTGAAAAACAGCCTAAACCGAGCGTCATGTTTAAATTTGTAGTAAATACGGGCCATTGTTGGTGTCCCTGTGATGTTTTGATACTGTTTTATCCATGCTTTTTTCAACATATTTGAAGTAAATCATTCCGTCAAAAAGTACAACATTTCAGGATTTGATCAAGGATGGTCAGAAAGAGATGGGATTTCCCCCCTCCGGGATCAACATGATTTCGGGAATCCTTCTATATGCTCTCGGATTTGGGATGAGAGGGAGGAGGGTGGGTAAGAGTTAGAAGAAATATTTCCTGATATGAAAATTTTTCGTGGGAATATCATTTTGGGGATCCCGCCAGCCCTTTAAGACGACCTCCATTAATGGAAAAAGGGGTATGAATGAAAAATAAACACTTTATTTCATGTCAGGGGAAGCAAGCTCATGTCTGTCTCATATGACACTATTGGCGCTCCACTCTTACTTCTAATTACAAACTACTCAAAAAGAAAGCAGAAAATCGGAGAACCATAATGGTGCAAGGTTGAACGAAATCGGATAACAAAATAATGATTTTTTTTCTTCAAATTCTAATCTCTATACGTATTGGAATTTCAAATTAGTTGAATCGACAAAACTACTCTGACGTAGTGCCGGACAAGTTTTTGATTTTTGTTTTCTTCTTCTAACATACAAAATGACATCACTGATTGATTGGTCCGTCTTTACCCTCTAGGTTCGTCGCTTCGACGACATCGTAACAGTTGAAGAGGATGGTGTTGTCCGCACTCAGGCCGTCACATGGGGTCTTGACCGTATTGACCAGAGGTCCCTTCCTCTTGATAACAACTACAACCCAAGCAGTAAGCTATCCAGTTTATTGTTGATTCTGCCAGGGCCTTGTTTCATAAAATTTGATATCAATAACAAGCTACAAGCTACTGTTATAAGCTACTGTTATAAGCTACTGTTACAAGCTACTGTTACAAGCTACTGTTATAAGCTACTCAAATCATGGCATCTGATTGGCTGAGAGCAAATTTGTCATAGAAATTTAGCATTTGTTATAGATAACAAGTTTTATGAAACGGGCCCCAGTTTCAATACATTTATTTGTTTGCATGAAATAACCATAATGATGAGGGAATAGCGCTCACCACTTTATATCACACTTGACACTCCTATAGGTCCCTACTACTATATCAGTATCACACCGATAGCACGACTGCTATTATGGCGCTCGAGCATGTCAAGTAATCAAATTTGCCGGGCACCTAGTCACCTCATCCGGGTAAAGTTTATCAAATGTAGATTAAAGATAAACTTGAGTTCTGGAAAAAAAGAAAATGAATTCTCATAGAATCTAACGAAACTTACACTGAATGTTCAAGATAACAAATAAACGTCATGCGCAAAACATCTTTGGAAGAAAATGTATACTGGCTGAGTAATGAGCATAGAAAGATAAGGAAATCAGGGTAGTACTAGCCCCGACACCATGTGTGTTGTCCCATATACATCTTTCTGTGTAAGTGATTGTTACTTTACCAAGACTCTGCCAAATTTATGATGATTTTGATTACTCCAGAACCTTGCATTACACAACATTACTTACATGCTATATGATCAACTTTTCGGATCCATTCCACACCTTTTCTTTCACAGTGCAATCGCATTACCAGAACTCAAGTTTATCTTTAATGTCTTGCCAAAGGACGTTAGATGTAGCAGAAACATGTAGGCTACCCTAGCCTATTATATAGTTTGCAGGCACAAACCCTTCTCAAACGTAGTGCGTAATAGAGTGTCTGATCTAAGAGACTGTGACAAATGCACGGTCTTGGCCCTGTACTTAAGCTGCTCCTGACACAACCAGAACTGGGCTCATCTCAAGACTTTATGGAATTGTGTTTAAGTGTCAAGTTCGAGTCTGTTCCAGCAGACTACACGTACCCCGTACTTCGTAATCAACAGTTTGGTGACTTGGAACATAGACCATGCTTGAAGACGACAACACTTATATATAAGTTGGATATGATTTCTAAGTAATCGATCGGATACGATTTCTAGTTTTTATTTATTTTCCTTTAAGTTTAATCATGTACAAACTGCAAATGAATTCAGTAATCGAGATCAAACAATGTATTACGTAAGCCCTAAGAAAAAAATTGAAGAACTGGAAATGATAAACAGTTACAGAACATCATTGACCTAAGTGGATATTCTTAAAAAAGCATGGGCAAGTCCTTAAAACTTAGTTACATAGTAATATTATGGTTTTTGGTGAATTTCCCTTTACTAATTCAAAGTCACATCTTTACTCGTAAAACAGACGACGGATCCAACGTCAACGTCTACGTCGTCGACACCGGTATCTGGAACACCCACAACGACTTCGGAGGTCGTGGTTCCATCTTCTACGATGCTCTCGATGGCGATGTAAGTTACCTTTAATAGGCCTATTCTATACACAGTGGCGTAGCATGGGTCAAGTCTCTGAGGGGAGGGGGCTGCTTTCGATTGGGGCGGGGGCATGGAAAGTATTGGGTGGGTGGAATGCGTTAGAAAAATTCTACAGAATAAAGGAGATTGTGTTTGGGAGAAGGCGTTTTATAATTTTGTTTCACCTTAGTTCAGTCTCCCTTTCTCTCCCTCTCTCTCTCTCTCTCTCTTTCTCTCTCTCTCTCTCTCTCTTCTCTCTTTCTCTCTCTCACTCTCTCTCTCTCTATCTATATCTCTCTTTCTCTCTCTCCTATCCTCTTTCCAATCGGGAGGGGGCACGTACTCCCGTGTTCCTAGCTACACCGGTTCATTATTTTTAATTGTCTTTGCATTAATAACATTTTGGAGACGAAATTTCAATGTCTTTTTTAATCACTTGTAAAATTTCTATCCTTTTTTTTAATAATTCTAATTGAGATTAATATAGTTATCTATTACATTTTAGGAATATATCAAAATCGCATTCAGGGTCATAAGAGAACCAACACCTTTTGTTCGAAACAAGAATGCCATGAAATCAAGATGCAAGCGTTCACAAGAACGGGCTAAAATCTTCTCTACCCTTTAACCCTATCCCATGGTATTATAATTCTAAGAGTTTAGATATTCTAACGGATGTTAAGCGACCTTCAATAATTAATTTTCAATGAAACATCGCCCCAAAGAATTTGTATAGGTATGCTGAAAGATGAGATTTATTCCTGCCTAATGATGTAAAATATTCCTCACGAGAATGTATATTAGAGATATATAAATGAAGATATACTTGGTATGATGCAATGCCTTTAAGCATGATATGGGCGCAACAATTTTCTTGATAATGTGACGTACATGTACCAGGCGAACTTGTACATGTATCATACACCCGGCTCTAGTTGGAAATACTTTTTAGTTCAATAACTAAACCTTTACTGTTCAACGAGGCACAATCACAGCTGAGAAGGTGAAAATTGTATTTGGTGAAAAAATATATAAACAAGGGAACAAATTGTTACTCATTTATTTTTAAATACTGAAATATATCAGTAGAAAAATCTATTTCGTTTTAATATGCAAAACCTTCAACTCAAAAGAGCAGCAAATTGTTTATGCAATTTTTGTTCTAGTTATTGCGTAACTAAAATAATAGCCGGTGACTGGAATTCTTCATCACCACACACACGTGGGAAGGAGGCATCCAGCCATTTGAACATATTTACTTGATAAACTACTTCGCATAGTACATCACGTTATCATTAAAATGGCGATGCCCTGGTCGTGCTGGAAAACAGAACATCATGCTAAGAATATCTTGCTTTATACCTTCCTCACACTTTGGAAATCTTGTAGATTAATGGGCAAAATAACAATAAAGTGAAGCAAATACTCAATTCATTTCCTGCTATGTTGTTGTCAGTGTTACTTTATTTTTTTTTGCATTTTATGTTTGTTTGGTTTTGTTTGTTTTTCGGGGTTTATTCGTAGGGTGTTGACTGTAACGGACACGGAACTCACTGTGCCGGCACCGTTGGAGGTAACGAATACGGAGTAGCCAAGAACGCCAACCTGTTCGGCGTCCGTGTTCTCAGCTGCCTTGGATCCGGCTCTTACAGCAGCATCGTTGACGGTAAATGCACATAGGTACAGTCCATTAAACCGATAACCCATGAGACTGACGACCCACAAGACCGGCAGTCCACGAGACCGGCAATGTTGGTCTGGCAAACTTTCAGAAGGCCTAAATAATCAACATATTTGTCTCGTGGGCCTTCATATGGAAACGTTTGCTTGTATTTGTCTCATAAAAGAAGTTGACCACAAACTGACGCCCACACGGTGTTGAGTGCACAGGGGTCACGGGCCACTGGCTTTATCGGGCAGGTAGTTTAATTATGTGAATGGGTAAATTAACTATTACAAAATGAGGGGACACATTACATTGTGCAGTGGGGACACACTTTGTTTTTATTGTGCAGAACATACTCTTTTATTGACTTACTGATTGCATGAAACTTTAAAACCAAAATGCATTTTGTATTCTAACAATTGGAGTACAAAGAATAAAAAAAGGTGAATGAAATGCATAAACACCACAAACACCTGGGGAGGAAGCATTCATAAATTTGAATAATTTAGTTGATAAATGACTCCGATGAAACTATAAAACCAAAATGTAATTTGCGTTCTGGCAATTGGAGTACAAAGAATGATAGCAGGTGAATGAAATGCTTCAACAACACAAACACCTAGGAAGGAAGCATCCATAAATTTGAATAATTTAGTTGATAAACGACTCCGCATGTGGACGTTTAATGGAGCAGAAAGCAGTGGATTCTTAACAACACGAACCTATTTAAGAGAATGTCGGAACGTAAAATTAAATTTGGCGCGGTTGGAAAAATGCATCTTTCTACCCTGCGACTTTAATGGTACGATCCTGTAAATTAAAACAGTAAAATGGCTCTTATTTTAAAATTACTCATTAAATAAAACCCAAAACTGCAGTAATAACAGACAAAATATGTTATATCTTACTAATAATTAAAAAAGATGTATAAACATTGTGAAAGTGTAGCATTTTACGATAAAAGACACCGATTTAGCGAGGATGACGTCATTAGTGCGCTTGCATCAGGGAAATCAAGGTCAAAAGGTCAATAAAGACGCTGATAAGTTATTGGTCAAGCCTTTTTGTTTCCTTTATTCCGACATAATTAATCAAAACAAGTTTAATACCAGAAGAAAGCTAACGATTAGTATTTTCATTAACCGCTTGTCCCAAAGTCGCTTGACTACAGTGAAACGAGTGAGAGCTTGCGAGAGCGGCCAAAGTGTGATTGAAACTCGCTAATTGCTCTTCTCCAACTCAAAAAGAGACGACATTGTGCTGGATGAATGTATTTTTTCCGACAAAAGTACAGAAAATTTGCATATGGTCTTTTTATATTATACTTTATGAAATGTTACCAGAGTGACTTCCGGGCGCCCCAATGCTGGAAAGAAACGCACATTTTTAGAAAACTTCACTTTTTCATGAGAAAATGCTTATTTGTTCTATGCACGCAAGTCAGATTGAGCGGATGATACAACGTTTTCATATGTGACAAGTTTTTGAAGGTCCAACGATATTGTTGGTTGTCCGTCTACTGCAAAATCCCGAATGCACGCGAGGGGTCATTTTGATAACGCAAGACTGCGTCAACAACTTGCGCGGTCTTTGGCGCATTAAGTGAGGGTGGCACGGATATAACATGGAATGAAAAATGAAAGGAGAAGATACTGATTTGAATTACTAGTTATATAGGCCAATCGCTTTCACCGTAGGCTTGCTTAGCGCAATCATATAACGCAATCGAAATAACACCTTGCGTGCACCGGTGTGACAACGTTAAAGTGCAAGTCCACTCCAAAAATAATTTACTTCCCAAAGAAGCAGAAAAATCAGGTCGGTTTGTCTGATTTTGTTTGCTTCAATTGAAAGTAAATTATTTATGGGGTGGACTCGCCCTTTCATTCACAGGATAAGGTATCTGTACATTTTATTCATTTCTGAAATTCAATTCAAATAAATATTTGACTAATTCACGAAGAAAATTAAAATAGGTGGATGCTCCGTCCTTCAAATCCGAGTAAACTTTGACTGCATCAACTTCGATTGTATTTCGATGACAAGAATATTTGAATACAAAGACGACTTTACTATAAAGACTTTCCATCCGATTATGGTAAATGGGTATATTAAACCGGTAGGTAAACGATTCCTAAAGCTACAGTCCCATATACGTCCCGGACCGTCCCGGACCATCCCGGACCCCATCCGGGGTGATCCGGGATTCGGTCCGTGTTGACACCGTGTTGGCACCGGGGTGGTCCTGGATGGTCCTGGATGGTCCTGGACGGTCCTGGATGGTCCTGGGCGGTCCGGGAGTCGACCCCGGATGTTTTTGACGGTCAAAAACTGCCGGGGTGGTCCGGGACGGTCCGGGACAATAGTTTGATCCGGGGTGATCCGTGTAGCCACCGTGCTGGGTCCGGGGTCATCCGTAGTGGCGCCGGGGCGGTCCGTGTTGATCCGTGGCAGTCCGGGAGTGAGTTATTGACCGCCCAGGACCATCCAGGACCATCCAGGACCATCCAGGACCACCCCGGTGCCAACACGGTGTCAACACGGACCGAATCCCGGATCACCCCGGATGGGGTCCGGTATGGTCCGGGACGGTCCGGGACGTATATGGGACTGTAGCTTTTAAAGCATCACACTTTTTTGAACAAAACATCCCGGACCATCCCGGATCACCCCAGACCATGGTCCGGGATGGTCCGGAGTGGTCCGTGCTCGTCCGTGCTGGTCCGGCTTTATATGGGACTGGGGCTTTACGCGTTGTGAGCCCCGTAATCTGTAGCCTAATGAAAATTCTGGAAAAGAGTCCTCTACAGGCAGTTTATATTATTAATGTTGTTGTTGGTTTTGTTGTTATTATTGATATTATCATTCCACACAAAAAAGATTAAGTCCGTCTTTTTTCCAAAAACACTTTCAATTGCTTTGACAGAAAGCACCAAGTGTTATTAAATGCACCTTCATATCATATTCTAACGTTCTACTGTCCGAGTGTTTTCCTTTAAAGCCCGTATGCACTGGTTTGGACGGGGTTGACCTTCCTGCAAGGTCACTGACAGGTGGTTATCTCATCAAATCAGCTCTCAATTAACATAAGAAAAAGAGGATCATGGGGGACCAACAGACACCGATTAGGCATTGTTTGATATATAGAGGGCGCAAGTAGCTATACGTAGTGCAGTAGGACTTTAGAGTCTCGTTGTGCTTATCAGAGCTACCTTCTGCGAGTTCTGCGGGTCGTAGACGTGTAGATTCAAGGAGTTCTTGGTGATGAGACCTTCGTTCTTCTTCTTCACCATGCATGTGTGTCCAATATTTACTGGAGTCACCTCTGCTTTGACATTCCACGTTCTCTCTATCTTTATTTGAGAGTATTATCATTTTCATTATTATCATTCTTATTATCATTACCATTATTATTATTATTACTATTATCATCATCATCATCATCGTCGTTGTCATCATTATTATCATTATTACTATTATAATTATTATCTAATTTGACAGGTATGAACTACGTTGCCACATACGGCAGCAAACCGGCCGTTGTATCCATGTCTCTTGGAGGCGGTGGATCTCTCCTGATCGATCAGGCTGTCCGAACTCTCTACCGCAACGGCTTCGTGGTCTCTGTAGCCGCTGGAAACAGCGACGACAACTCCTGCAACTACTCACCAGCTCGCTCCGGCTACGTAAGAATTTAAAGGGACCCGGTAACTTTGTCTCAGATTCTGAAACAAAATCTTGGATTTAGCTCATGCCTCAATGATAATTATTAACCTTTAGGTCAGTCAGGAACCCAATGACTTTACAAGCCGATCGCCCGTCTGAATAATATTTATGATTGGAAATCGAAACTAAATTTTGCGTTTGCCTAACAGCTTTCATATAACTACAGTCTATTGAGGAAAACGAGTATGGTAAAACCGGTCACTAAAAGATCTTTACTTTTTTGAGGCACTTTTTGATCATTTTGTAGCGCAATTTTTTTAGAGCTTCAATATTACACCATATCACAGACACTGATAACATGTAGGGCCATGCATCTCAGATTTAACATTGTTAAACCATGCCTTTAAGATGCCAAAGTATAGACGAAATTTCAGAGTATTCGGCATATTTAAAGTTCTCGAAGTTTCTAAGTGCTCAACCATTTTCCAAATATAGGTTGCATTGGGTTAACTACTTCTACGATGATACTCAGCAGGACTCATATAAAGTGAGGATGTAGTGCTAAGGAGTTGAACTGAGGTACTCGTTTGCAGTGCAATCTTGTTGGTGTTTTAAAAATACTGTGCGAGTAAAAAATTCAGTTCCTTGGTCTAGATTATTGATTGAGCTCATGCTTCAATAGTGATTATTAACCTTTGGGTCAGTCAGGAATCCCATGACTGTTACAAGCCAATCGCTTGTTTGATTATCAAGATAGTTTTGTTTGAAAATTTCAAAACCGCAACCCTATACAGTAATGAACGGTCGGCATTCCCATTTCGGTGCAAAACCTCTATAGGCCCGAATTCACAAAGGAGTTTTGTCGACAAACCTAGGTTTATGTGCGTCATATGACGCGTTTCGATGCGTTTCAGACAAAGGTTCAGACAAAGCTTGGTCTGAAACGCGTCAAAACGCGTCATATGACGCACATACACGATACACCTATTTTGTTTATCCCCCATGCAGGCCGTGACCGTTGGAGCCACCGACATCAATGACGCCCGTGCTTATTTCTCCTGCTACGGCTCCTGCGTGGACATCTGGGCTCCCGGTGTAGACATCACCTCCACCTGGATTCGCTCCGACGATGCCACCAATACCATCAGCGGTACCTCCATGGCCTGCCCACACGTCTCAGGTAACTAACTGAACTTTCCCTGCGGTATACTTTCGATATAATACCAATTCTTTTCCGGGCAATGCGGGATGAAAGACATATTGATGGATACCGGGATGATGTGACGGTTAGGAATGTTACACGGTCTGTATAATGGAGAAAAAACCGAAGAAGGGCAGAAGTAACTCGCTTCTGCGATTTTTTTTTCTTCTCAAAAATAAGATTAACGAAATGTCCTCTGGAATGTCTCTGGAAAAGAACCCCTGGATGATGGCATGAGTTCGTTCCTACTTAAATTTAAGCAGCAGAAAAGACTCAATGGAACATACTGATTTAAAAAACGTAACGGCATTTTACAACCCCCTCCCCCCCCCCCCCCCCCCCCCCCCACACACACACATACACACAAACACACAACTCTCTCTCTCTCTCCCTCTCCTCTCCTCTCTCCTATATCTCTCTCTCTCTCTCACTCAATTTCTATTTGTATCGCTCTCTCTCTCTCTCGTTCTCTCTGTCTCTCTCCCTCTCTCCCTCCATATCTAATCGTTCCTTTATCCCTTCCTCCCTCCTACTTTAGGTGTGATCGCCCTGATGCTTCAAGATGCCCCCACCGCTTCCCCGTCCGCCATCTCCAGTGCCCTGCTCAACAATGCTTCCACCGACAAGATTAGCGACGTCAAGTCTCTCTCTCCAAACCTACTCCTCTACACCAACTAATACCGCAGTCTCAGACGAACAAAACCGACACCAGGAGAGTGTTTCACAAAACTTGTCATCAGTGACAAATGACAGTTTTTGTTATAAGCTACTGAAATCCTTGCTTTGATTGGTCATCAGCAGATTTGTCACTGACTTTTGTCATTTGTCATTGAAAATAGGCTTTGTGAAACACCCCCAGGCCTATTAAACAAATGATGTATTACCCTAACGGTCCCAAGTAGGTCGCTTTGGAATCAGTTTGCAGTCGGTTTTTATCGGCATGACTGAGGTATAATACCCCATACAGTCACACCGACAAGACCAACATCACACGAACCAAATTACATATTACCCCCTAATAACCAAACATAGGTTGCTTTGGAATCGGTTTGGAAACGGTTTCGCGGTGTGACTAAATAAGTGCACACCTTTCACTAACTGTAATAAATTCAATTTTAATGCACATTTTATGTTGTCACTTTAGAATTTGTTTGTCGTGTGTGTATGTCTCTCTGTTTTTGTTGTTGTTGTTCGTTGTTGATGATGATATTTTTATTATTTCTTTGTTTTGTTGATATAACATGATCGCTAAGATTTTCGCAAAATCAACTCGAGAACAATTTTAGAACCCAATTTTATGTCTTTTAGAAACCACTTTCGGATTGCGTAATATGTCATGTATCAATTAGTGTCCGCCCATCTCTGCTGGCGAGGTTAAAATGCGGGCAAAAACGTCTTTCGTGATTGTGGCGATCTGAAAGCTAATTTGAGATTGATATTGAATAAATTACATAGTAGAGTAAAAAAAAAAAAAAAAAAAAAAGATTAATGCAAAGAGAGAGAGAGAGGGAGGGAGAGAGAAAGAGAGAGATAAAGAGAGATAAAGAGAGAGAGAGAGAGAGAGGGAGCGAGAAAGAAAAGGAGAGAAACAAATGGAGAGAGAAAGAGAGAAAGGAAGCAAGAGGAAGAAAGAGAGAAAGCGAGAGAGAGAGAGAGAGAGAGAGAGAGAGAGAGAAGAGAGAAGGGAGAGAGAGAGAGAGAAGAGAGAAGGGAAGAGAGAGATAGAGAAAGAAGCCCCCTGTTACACCCACACATGTAATAACGCCCACAAATGTAATAACATTTTACCCACAAATGTAATAATACTTTACCCACAAATGTAATAACACTTTACCCACAAATGTAATAATTTCACCCACAAATGTAGTAACCACTTTACCCACAAATGTAATAATTTTGAATCACCCACAAATGTAATAATGACTTTACCCACAAATGTAATAAATTTGAAGGGATATTTTGTCGAATTTGTCGAATTTGTCGAAACCCTGTAATAAGGCGTTGTTGTTGTTGTTGTTGTTGTTTTAGTTTTAAGGGCGTGTGTCATTCAATTGTGAATATTTACGCCGAATTCAAGTTTTTTAATAATTCATGGGTATAGCGCGCAGTCTTTACTCCAGACCCGGTTATTTCAAAAATTTAAAAAATCTTCAAAACTAAGACCCCATAATCCTTTTCCTGTGTAATAACATGAGAATCGAGCGTAGTCTTCCCTCCAGACCCGGTTATTCAAAAGTAAAAAAAAAAAAAAAAAAAAATAAAAAAAAATAAACTAAGACCCCACCATCTTTCAAACTAAGACCAGGTAATAAAGCATGGGTTTAAAGCGTAGTTTTTCTTCCAGACCCGGTTATTTCAAAACTTTTTAAAAAATCTTCAAAACTAAGACCCCATCATCTTATTCCTGTGGAAGAACTGTTGTTGTTGTTGTTTTAGTCTTAAGGACGTGTGTCATTCAATTAGTACATGAGTATTAAGCGTAGTCTTTCCTCCAGACACGGTTATTCAAAAGTTTAAAAAAACAAGAAACAAAACAAAACAAAACAAAACAAAAACAAAAACCTTTTAAACTAAGACCCCTCCATCTTTCAAATTAAGACCTGGTAATAAAGCATAGGTATAGAGCGTAGTCTTTCCTCCAGACCCGGTTATTTCAAAGAAATTTAAACAAAAATCTTCGAAACTAAGACCCACCATCTTATTCCTCTTTTTTTTTTCATTTAAAAATAAATTACATTATTACATATGTGGATACAACACGTCACAAATAAATGATTGGTCGGCGGTCACACGAACTGACGAATCAGTTAAAATGGTCCATATATATAGCACACAGTGTCTCATTGACTTTTGAAAGTTCACCCACCGTAATTTTTAAAATAGGTTACAAGCTCACCATTGCCTATAATACACATGTGAAACAAGTCGAACTTTGGACTCAGTCTGCCAAGTGATTGTAAGATTATAGGTCAAGCACACGAAGGATAAGAAGCATGAATTATCAATTATCACTTCTGCTATGTTCATTATGTCCATTTCATCCAACCCCCCCACCGTAATTTTTCCATTTAGTAAAAGCAAACATTTTGCCGAGTTTAGCAAAAACATGAATATTCATGAACGGTCAGACAATACAGCCTTTTAGTACGTAATGTATAGTGAATGGGAATGGGCGATGATCCGTCCAGGAGGTAGAGGTCAGTGTTTTGTGCTGGCAATGTTCACACGAGCGAAAATGAGACAATTGGAGCAATATGCGGGTCTGGAGGAAAGACTACGCTCAATACTCATATTCTTCCACAGGAATAAGATGATGGGGTCTTAGTTTTGGAGATTTTTAAAAAGTTTTGAAATAACCGGGTCTGGAAGAAAAACTACGCTCTAAACCCATGCTTTATTACCGGGTCTCAGTTTGGAAGATGGTGGGGTCTTAGTTAAAAAGTTTTTTTTTTTTTTTTTTTTTTTTACTTTTGAATAACCGGGTCTGGAGGAAAGACTACGCTCGACTAAGTCGTAAATATTCATAATTGAATGACACACGCCCTTAAGCCTAAAACAACAACAACAACAACGTTATTCCACAGGAAAAGGATTATGGGGTCTTTGTTTTGAAGATGTTTTAAATTTTTAAATAACCGGAGTAAAGACTGCGCGCTATACCATGCTTTATTACAGGGTTTTAGTTTTGAACATATTCGACAAAATATTCCTTCAAATTCATTACATTTGTGGGTAAATTTTGTGGGTAAAGTGTTATTACATTTGTGGGTGTTATTACATTTGTGGGTAAAGTGTTATTACATTTGTGGGCGTTATTACATTTGTGGGTGTAACACCCCCCCCCCCTCCCAACTGTGACATCCGCCATGCCACAGCCGTGAGACATATAATAGCATTACATTTGGGAATCAAAATACAATCCTTCAGTAAATAAAATATACACCAAACAAAACATACAAATCACATAAACACGATGCATTTTCTTTCATAGGTCGTTTAATTTGATAAAATCCAGCAACTGGAAGACTAGAATAATCAAAAGTTGAAGATTATATTGAATAGACTATCATTTCTACAACTTATAATACCGCATATTGATATTCAGATTTTAAGTCTACATCAAATGAAAGAAAGGTGCTTTATAAATGCGATTAAAGGTACTCCCTATCATTACGATGAACATAATTCATGATAACAATCATGTAAAGGTAAGGTAAAGAAAATGAAAGAAGTAATCCAAGGAGGAGGAGAAGAAGAAGAAGAGGGCAAAAAACGAAAATTAAGCAAGCTACATGCTCTTGATTCCAAAGCGGGCATCTCAAAACAGAGATAGTTATGTAACTGGAAGTTGCTTGTGATTGGCCAGTCATTTCACGGAGCCTCACACATTCTCCGTAGTGGAACGACGCACCATGATATAACCTTTGACCGCTTCAGGCGCGTTCGTGCCACAGCTATCTCTCTTAGTACGCTATGGTTTATTCTTCTTGGAGGAACTCGGCCAGTTGTCGCATGATTTCCTTTTTACGTTCAGTGAAATCGTCGTCATCGACTTCAGTGGCACGTTTTGCTATGGCTGTGGAAAGGCACAGAGATATTCTCCTTATTATCGTTGTTTGGTTAAATTTTGCAAAAATTGACTTGATTATTATTGACTATTTCTGTTAAATAGGGATGACAAATTATTGATATGCAACCATTTGTAATAGTATCTACGTATTACGGATATACGTGTACATATATCATGTCGATTCGCAGTGTGAACATTTGGTGTTTTCTGAGATTTTATTACAATTGTTAAATACCTTTTTAATTCGAATAGTGAATCACGACGACCTAACCATTTGTTTATCAGAATAATTATCTGCTAGAATTGATGTAAAGAATCACCACGAATCAGCACGAATCAGCACGTCATAAGCCTTTTTTAAACGTACCTTGATCGACACATGCGCTAGTTGAAAAGCTGCTTTTATTTAAATCATTTTGGCATGTGACTCTACTCTAATCAATCAGGCTTATGCTATGAATTGTAGCTTATTTTTAAATCAATCTTTTTATAAGATCCAAAATCCAAAGCTTAAAAAAAAAAATTCTTCTTATGGAATATTTAAAATGATGTACTATTGCTAATACACGATCGCAAAGACTCTCAAGAAATCAACCCAAGGGCGATGTTAATAGCCTATTGTATATCCTATAGATAGACATTACGTTCGCATTACTTATTCCGCCATTGTAATGTTCGTACGCTTGAACAGATGATGGACAGGGCCACCGAAAAAAAAAACACTGATTTTGTTTTTCAAAATTGTACCTAAAACTTGATTTCAAACAGAAAAATGCAACAAAAAATCCCGCCCTTCCCCACACTCACTAACATCCAAGTTACAGGCCTGACTCCGTAAACCGTTGGAGGAAAAAAACAGTCGCTGGTTTCTCTTCTTTTAACGTGCAAATGAATGGCAACTGTGGGCAACAAAGGTCCTGAGCGTCCTTAAATTTACCTATTCATTTTTTTAACCGCTGCAGTTTACCGCTGCATCTAAGAACAAGGCCTACGGTTAATTATTCGAAAGTCTTGTTAATCGTGTTGATAATTGTTCAGCTTTATACTTACGTGAGCATCCACCATTTGGGTTCCCCTCATAGTCTTTTCCGCACATGCAGGAATACCCTCCGTCGCTACTCTCACACCCGCCGTGTCCGTCACAGTAGTTGGTTCCTTGGCTGCACCCGGAAAAAGAGTTGTATGTACGGGCTGTGTGTAATATTTATAAAAAAGACGTATGGAAGAGTATATAGTGTGAGATTAATTTATACACTTGAAGAGAAAGAAGAGTCATGAAACTGAATTTCAAAAGAGGCTGTCTGAAAGGTATCACAAAAAAGTTGATTATATTGTAAATAGTAAGTTACGAATGGCAGATCCGGAATTATCTGGCAAGGATGATGTGGGGGGGGGGGGGACAAGAAAAAAAGGGTCATTAGGTTTTTTTGTGTGTCGTTTTGGCGAAAACATTCTATGACAAGCAACAACAAGAAAATCGGCGCCATGAGACCTCTTCTTCATTTCTCTCTTTTTATTGAATTGGTTGGGAGCACGTGCCCCTGTGCACCCCTTGGGTAGGTGGAATAATTGTTGTCTTGCCTCTTTTCATGAAATGACTGCGGCATTATGTTATATCTCCGTAAATCTTACATTCTGAGAAGATGTAATCTTTATCTGTAATGAATATTGTCACAATATTTCATGAAAAGAGGTTTTAAAAAATCCCCAGCTTTATGTGCAAGAGTGAAGCTTTGACTTGCCCTTATATACATGTAATCTACTTACGATAGCAAGAAGAATCTGGACCGCCCACTTGATATGGCGTCTCACACCTGCAGTAGTACGTCCGCCTACTATCTTCGCCTTCAGTACATGTACCATGGTTGTTGCAACTGTTGGTGGCTAAGTCGCATCGCCCCTTGGTGTCGCGACTTTGCATTTGCAGTTCCTCGTCTGTAAGAATACAAAAGACGATTTAACCCAGAGCCATCTAGATGTATAATTTGGCCAACCCGGTTCGAGTTTGGCGATATGGTGAAAATTGCGTTTTGGGGCAAGCACACAACAAAAATATAATACATGCATGTATATGCCATGTTGTGACCAAGCGTCAAGCCACATTGGCCAAACTCTGATCTTACCTACTCGTATTTCCCTGCCCATGCTGTATGACATTAGGGAGGCTCGATGGCTCAGTGGTAGGTTGGTCTTGTAACCGGGAAGTCCCTGGTTCAAAACCAAGTCGATGCACTAGTGCCCTTCGGTAAGGTATTTATCCGCATTACCAAGTTCTTTTAAGAGAAGCCGTCGGTTCCTTGCAGTAGATTGTGACATAGTCATGAACATCTCTCCCGTTAGTCATGTACGAAAATATCATTAATTTATGTTTTTCTCATAAGCTCCGTCTCAGTTGGGATACTACCAAAATTATAGCAAAGATGGCATTTTATTCAAGGTACTCCAAAAAAAATAAGCAGAATGGAGAGTTATCCGTCCCTACATCACGGCCAATTTGACATGCCTGCCCAATACGTATAGTGATAACAACTTTTTAAAGAAATAACGTTGTTATTGTCTGCCCGATTTCGTTTAAACTTTCAGCAATCTGCTTTTCTGATTTTCCGCTTTGTTTCAGAACAATTTGCTATTAAAGGTTGGATTTTCCTTTATTGCGATTAACAAGAAGTCTCTAGGATGGCGTTTTCCTGTCTGTTCCTAAATTTCCCGCATTAATAAATCCAGAATGAATCAATCGAAGAGAATAAAATAAAAAGACAGAGTTAACCTTTATGTGGTGGGACAAAGAATAAAGGAGAAATAGAAGCCAAAAACATTCGTTCTAAGTAAAGATTATATGTAGTTTTCTGGGAAAGTTGACTTTGTATTAGTGTCGTATATCCCTTTCTTTTACTCAATCACGAGTTCAATAATCGAAGAGTGTAAAATAAAATACATACAAGCTTGTCTTACACGATAACAAAGAGTTGAAAAGGTATTTCAAGTAGACCTAGTGATAATGTAAGTAATTAAAAAAGTTGACAATGTAAATGTTTTTAAAGAGGCCGTCAGGCGGATGCAAATACTTACTTTCATTGAGCATTGATTTCAGAGCCATCTGCAGCTTACTCTCTGAAATTCAATCAAATGTGTTGTCTGTTTTATCGTAATATCAGCACATGAGGCAAATGAAATAGATATATTATTACATGGTGGGTGACATAATATCTACATAATTTGCATCTTATCTTACTTCTGTAAGACTTCTTTACGACTTTTTGTTTTAATCAGTATATTTTACGTTAAAAATTTACATGCGAGTAAGACGACTTTACTTCAACTCGCACAAACACACAACAACAAAAAACTCACACGTACACAAACTCACACGCATACGCAAACATAGACGCTTAAGTCAGGCAGTCCATAACCTGCAACCCAATGTGCGACTCCAAGCTCTCCCTTTCTTGATTCTCAGTGCATACCAAGCATACGGATTATCCCGAAACCTGTCAGACTCGAACGCTAGATACACCACACACACACACACACACACACACACACACACACACACACACAGGAATTCATTAATCTCATACAAATCCAAGATGGGTATTCCAAAATTATTTAACTGTAGGATGGCAAAAAGGGTAACTGAAATAAAACTAACCAGGAATAACTTCCTTCCATCTCTTCAGCAGTGAATACATTAGAATTGTGTATGCCTGGCAAAATTGCTCAAATCTAGCCAAAGTATTTAGGCAGATATTTTTGACACATGGAACGAATTGTCCAGTACCGTTCGATTACTAAACTACGGTAAAACGAAGCATTTTTACAAGCTACATGAATATGTGCATTTTTATATAACGACAACGGAATGGTGTAAAGATAAACAACGTTACATACTCAGATTCTCATCGGCGGCTACCATTCCGACGCCGATGACGGCGACCACGAAAGCAAGGTAAAACTTCATCTTGATGTCTTATTCCTGACACAGCGCGAAGCATAAGAGTAATTTCTTCAAGCGACAAACCTTAACAAACTACTCCACTCATCAGGACCGGTCACTCTTTATAGGGGTGCACAAGGACCAATTGGAACGCAATGACAAAGTGCCACGCCCAGTCGACTGCGCGCTCATCCGTCCACCGATTACACTTTCTTTTGGCGCCGGGGGCGAACATTTAACTGTGCGAGTCTTTAGAAATTGGCGTTTGCGTAGGAGGCTTCCTCATATCAATAAAGAAATTACAGATTCACTAAAGTCAAATTGTATTTGTTTGTTGCTTCAAGTTCTGCCCAAAATTTCTGAAAGATGTTTACACAAATGCCACTTTTTGTAGCAGCAGATAGTATTTGATTCTTCGAGGGCTGTGATCTTTAGTTATCTTCTTGCACTTCTTGCAAGTTATTTCCTTCTCTTTTCTAGATTATTTTCCTGGTGCAACGATTAGGAAAACCACTCAACCATCCCTCAAATTCATTTAATCCTATTTTGAAGATATCTTGACCCGGAATCCTAACTTATTATAGCTTAGTAATTGACCGGACCAGTGATTTTTGCGACTGATTACATTGATCACTATGTGCAATAAATCGCCAAAATCAACCACACGATCAATTGCTAAGCTATGGCTAAGCTATACAGGGCCCTGTTGTTCAATATTCAATTCTGTCAAAGTTGAGCCACATTACGAAAGAGGGGTTACATGTCATTCTTTCAAAAGGTTCGTTATTCCGAAAATGAAATAGGGTTTGTAATTTTGAAAGAATTGAATAGGGGTTCCAAAAGTGAACCTTGTATCGTTTTCTGAAATGACACCTTCAGAATAATGCATTCATTGTTCGAAAGTAGGAATCCGTTGGCATGGGAAATTAGTATTTCGGAATTATGAATAATAGTAACCACGGAATAATGAACCTTCGAAAAAACTACAGGGCATCCCGATGAAAATATTTCCGTGCGCAAGCGCTTGAATTGTGAACAGTGGTGAAAAAAGGGAACATTGCAACTCTGCATTTGCTACACAAAAGCAAACTTGTCTGGACAATTATACTTAAAGGGCAAGTCCACTCCAAAAATAACTTTCTTTCAATAGAAGCAGAAAAATCAGACAAACCAATCGAAAAAAAGTTTGAGCAAAATCGGATAACTAATAAGAAAGTTATGAAATTTTAATGACATGAAAAACTTTGTACATCACTAGACATATTGCTAACTCACTCGTGAGTCTGTGACGTCATGTCCTCATTATCCGCTAATTTTTTTTTTTTTTTTTTTTGTAATATTGTTTTATTGTATTCATTCAGTACAAAATATATAACAAACAAACATACAGCTTCATTGATTTACATATATCAAAATATAAAGAAAATTGTACATCTCTCAAAAATACTTAAGATAGTTTAATACACAGTACATAATTTTTACATTGAATTATACTGAACGAATATTATAAATGAAAGAGTTACCTACAGACAGACAGACACACCACACACGCTCACATACTCAGACACACATACAAACTGACATATCTCCCTCCCCCCTTCATTCCAAAGCTCAACAAATCCCCCCTCCCTTCCCGAGCATTCACATCTACATATTTGTTGGAAATCCTGTCTCTTCCTTTTCCTTAAGACCAAATAATATATTTTTAAAAAAAATTAAAAAAAAAAAATGTCTGAGTCTGAGAAAGAAGTATTTGCCTCGCCGTCCTTAACTATGGAAGTTGTCCCATTTTTTGAAGTGAAGTGTTAAAGTGCCTCTCTCCCCCGCTAATTCCTTTTCTTCTTGCCTATTTTCTATAATTCTTTTTTTAATTTCTTGAGGAATTGGGGGTCTATTTTTAGTTGAACTATATTTAAAAATCATATATTTTGTTAAAAGAATAATGTGATTTAACAGTTGTTCTTCTCCCGCATTAGATCTTTTTATCCCGATATGAATTTCTTGCCAATGTAGATTTTTTAACGCTGATAAAGCAAAAAGGTCACCGCAGTCCTTCCAAATATTTGCTACCTTTTCACAGGTAAAAAACAGATGCTCATAGGTTTCTTCGTGTTTATTGCAAAAGGAGCAAAGATTGCTCACTGCATGTTTGAAAGTGTATAGATGCTTATTTGTATAAATTAAATTATATAACATTTTATATTGAAATTCCCTCAGCTTTCTGTCTAGAGTGGATTTTCGGGGTCTTAGGAAAATTGTTCTCGTGTCATTTTCGACCATATTGTATGTACGTTCTAAGTTGCATGTAGCATAAGATTTTTCCGTTCTCATTTTTAACAATATACTATAGATATATTTTGATGTTATGCCTTGCAAAGAGTGAGGGTTTCCGTTAATAATGAATTCTAAACTTAATTCAGTATCCTCACATGGATGTTCATATATATTCAAAAGAGTTTTCCATGAGAATGGAATGCCTTCATATAACTGTTTTATTATATTTATTTCTATGTTGTTTAAACCCATTTTCTTAAATTCTGTGATAGATTTCAATTCACCTTTCCTATCAACAATATGATGTATTTTAAAAACATTTTTCAGAAATAAGTCTTCATGGAAATATATTTGCCCCTGAATGCGGATACATCTATTATTATTCGTAAATAATTTGATTTCTTTTTGAAATTTCGTTCTTAAGCAAAAAGGCTTTTGTCCCCAGCCAAGCCTCCAGCATGCTACGGTAAAAATCTGGTAATGACAGTGCAAGTAAATCTGGCGATACATTACTGAAAAAAATCAATAGGCCGCCATATTTTCTAGTCAGGTATTTAAAATAACGTTTCCAAATCATATTTGAATCTCCTGTTATAAGTCTTTTCATCCACATGACTCTTTGTGTTCGAATAAATAATTGAAAATCTGTCAATTTAAGACCTCCCTTATCGTAATCTAAAAACATAGTACTCCGTTTGATTTTATCTTTTCCATTCCATAAAAAATCAAATATTAACAGTTCAATTTCACGGAATGCCCACGGCGGTACAGGTGTGAGTGATGATACATATACTAATTTTGATAGAACAAAAGTCTTAATTAGTTGAATTTTCCCCATCAAAGTCAAATCTCTTTGTTTCCACCACATAAGCAGCTTTTTAATTTTACTTAAGATTTCTTTGTAATTGATTTTTTCCTGGCTTTCCACGTCTAACGTAAACTGTATCCCTAATATCTTTACAATGTTTACTATCTTACCAAATGGAACTATTACATCTTTATCCGCGTTAGGACCCAACAATAATACAAAGGTTTTGTCTCTATTCATCTTCAATCCAGACATATCTGCAAAACTAGTAAACAATGAGTTTAGTCTATTAAAAGATTCAATATCTTGAACAAACAACGACATGTCATCTGCATAAAGAATTTGTTTAACGTGAATATCATCAAAGGGAATCCCATGAATAGCCGAGTCGCTGCGGATTGCGCGAGCAAGAATCTCAATGCAAAGTAAAAATAAATATGCAGACAAAGGATCACCTTGTCTTACACCTTTCTGAATAGAAAAATATCCAGATGATACGTGTCCATTGAAAACACAACTTTGAGCCTTATTATAAATTATTTTCACCCATTTACAAAATATCGGTCCAAAACCAAAGGCTACTAAGACCTTTTGTAAAAACATGTGTGAAACCGAGTCAAACGCTTTTTCAAAATCTATCGCTAACAAATAAGCAGGTATTTTATTTTGAGTTGTATGAAAGATCATGTCGTCAATTAACCGAATAGCTTCACCTATATTTCTTCCCTTAAGATATCCCACCTGATCAATCCAAATAACTTCTGGTAATACTTTTTTAAGTCTTGTTGAAAGAGCTTTGGTTAAAATCTTGTAGTCCACATTAAGTAAGGAAATGGGTCTGTAGTTTTTAATTTGTAACGGATCTTTGCCTTCTTTATGAATTAAAGTAATTACTGCCTGTTTTTGTGAGTGGGAGAGTTCTCCCTCACAAAAGGATTCATTCAAAGCATCGACCACTACGTCTCCTATTACCGGCCAAAATAATGAATAAAATTCAACACTTAAACCATCGTTACCTGGTGTTTTGTTAAATTTCATTTCTTTTAAAACTGCTATACATTCCCTCTCTGTAACTTTCCCTTCACAAATATCCATAGAGTCTGGATTTAGTTTGGGTAGATCTGTGAAAAAAGCATCACTACAATTGAAATCAACCGTGGAATGCGCATATAGTTTGCTATAAAACTTGTGTATTTCTTTAATTATATCTCTCTGATCAAAACTTATTTTTTCTTCATTTATCATAAGTTTTCTGATTACTGTTTTTCTCTTATTTGATTTCATTAATTGGGTAAAGTAATTAGTATTTGTTTCTCCTCTTTCAAAGTACGATGCTCTAGAACGAATTTTAAGTCCTTCATTAATATAATCATAGCATGCTTTTAATTCTCTTCGTTTCAGTTCTAAAGATGCAATCTTCTCATTATCTACTGCTTTCAAAAGATCGTCTTCAAGGGAGAGTATTTCTATTTCTAGATTCCCAATTTTTTCTTTTCTGAGCTTTGCTTTTTCTTTCGAATATTTTCTGATAAAACTGTTTATTTTCATTTTCAAAAAATCCCATAGAACTCTTTTACTTTCTATTTCTGTTCTATAGTCCTCTTTCAGTTCAATGATTGCGGTTTTCATTAACACGATGAACTTTTCATCTTTACATAAACTATTATTAAATTTCCAATAAGATCCCTTGAATTTGATATCATTCGAAGGTAAATTAAAAAAAGTTTAGTTGTACAGCTGAATGATCAGGAGCTATAGATGATATTATATTGCATTTTGATATTATTTCATCTAGTTTTTCGGATACAAACCAATAATCAAGTCGACTTTGCATTTTAGAGTATTGTGCACCACTTTTTCATTCCAACCTAACACGTATACAAACAGATAATATTGAACGAATACAAAAACGGGCATGTAGAATTATTTTGGGACTTAATTATGAAACATATAATCATGCTCTAGAACTGTGCAATTTGTTAACGTTGGAAGAACGTAGGAATAAACTTTGTTTTGATTTCGC